TTTGCCAGCAATTTACTTCCCAATTTCTTATTTCCTCATTTGCTACTTTTAGTTGTTTTGTCTGTAAGTTTTGTCTCTTTTCTGATTTTATTTCATCTTAGAAAGCCCAGGATAATCTAGATGAAACATGATCAGCATCTCAGCTCCAGTTTCACATTTGGTAGTCTAAGATAAGAAGGATAAGAAAATGATGATAATGGCATAATAACTCTAACATTTTTTTTTTTTTTTTTTTTTGAGACGGAGTTTCGCTCTTGTTACCCAGGCTGGAGTGCAATGGCGCGATCTCGGCTCACCGCAACCTCCGCCTCCTGGGTTCAAGCAATTCTCCTGCCTCAGCCTCCTGAGTAGCTGGGATTACAGGCACGCGCCACCATGCCCAGCTAATTTTTTGCATTTTTAGTAGAGACGGGGTTTCACCAAATTGACCAGGATGGTCTCGATCTCTTGACCTCGTGATCCACCCGCCTCGGCCTCCCAAAGTGCGGGGATTACAGGCTTGAGCCACCACGCCCGGCCATAACTCTAACATTTATTGAGCTTTTGCTTCATGCCAGGAACTGTTCTTTGCCATTATATGTATTAAATCATTTAATCCTCCTAGCAATAGTATGAGACAGGTATTTTCAATACTCTCATTTTATTTTTCCACAATAATAAAGCAGAGACGGAGTACATAACCACCCTAACTCAAGGGAAGAAGGTGGAAGAAGCAAAATTCAGGCTGAGGCCTGAAATGCCCCTTTTCCCCACTGTGTCTGCCACCTCTAGACTGAATAGCCGGGACGCTGATGTAAGTCAGTTACACACATTGTACCACTGATTGCTAAAACAACCGTATGAGAGAGGTACCAGTATTATACTCATTTTGTAGATGAGATAAAGGAGGCTAGGAAAGGTTAAGGAATTCATCCATGGACAGAGGATTTGTGCCCTCTCTTTTCTCTTCTACAGAGAGATCGAGCCAGGATTTAACCCCAGCATGTCTGTTTACAAAGCCCAGCTTTAGAACCTTTATTCTCTACTGTTCACTGGGAGAGACCTATTTTTGGTCTCCTAAGCCCCATTTCCTTGTTTGTTGGTTGTAAGTTTTTCAAGTACAGAAAAGTATAAAAACAAGAACAAACACCAGTTGCAGTCAAGCAGTGCTAATATTTTAATATTTCATCTAGACCATTTTATGCATATTTTAACCTAGTTGAAATCATATTGTACATATAATTTTATATTCTATGCTTTTTATTTATGTCATAATATAAGCATAGCTCATTGCAGCCTCAAACTCTTGGGCTCAAGCGATCCTCCTGCATCAGTCATCTGAGTTACTGAGATTACAGAAACTGAGCCACCACACCAGGCCCAGTACATTTTTTTAATTGTAGTAAAAAATACATAATATAAAATTTACCATCTTAATCCTACACATTATTTTAAATGGTTGTACAGTATGTCATTGAACACATTTCTACATTGTTAGAAATTTGGAGTGTTTTAAATTTTCCATGGTTGCTAATGACCCTACAGTTAATACACTTATAAATAAATATTTGTTCACATTTCAACTTATTTCCCTAAGACAGATTCCTAAAAGTGGAACTGACAGATCAAAGAGTATTTTCGAATGTTTTTTGCCAAATTACTTTGCCTTCCTATTATTGCCATATGAAATGTACATCCCACGGCAGTTTTGCTAGTATAGCAGGCTGATAAAACGGAACCAGGTTAGTCTCAATTTTGGTGGAGGTCCCCCAAGTGAGGTGGGAGACTAGATAACTGGCTTGTGACCTTTGCTAACTACTCATCTCTAGCCAATGAAGCGGGGAGACACTCAGAGGAGGTATACATTAGAAGAGGATTTTGGAGACAGGTTTTGGTATATTATGAGTTTTATTTACCCTCAAGAAGGCTGGGTGGGGTGTGCTCCCTCTGACCTCGGTCCTAGGGAAAGGGCTTCAACAGTGCTGCTTGGAAAGCTCACTGTGTGAAACCTGTACCAGTCTTTAATTTATACCTGAAATCTAAAGGTCTTGGCTAGCTACTCTAAGACTGTATTTTACAAATAATGAAATCTATGCTTAGAAAGTTTAAGTAACTTGTCCAAGGACATACACAAATAAATGACTGAGCTGGAATTGAAACCCAGACCTAATTCAGGGCTTGCACGTTTACCCACCCTGTAATACTTCCTCTCATTTATCTGTGAAATCTTTCTTATTTTCATTGATATTTATCCATACTTTGGCCTGAATTCTTCATCTTCCAACTTTGAATTTTTTGGCAGGAGACTCCACCAAAACAATTTCAACCTCCTGCCAGCTTCCTTAAAACCACTTGTGAGATCAGCTATTTATATATAGGACTGATCTAAAGTCTAAACATTTTGCATTTGTTAAATAAACTCTAAGTGACTTTATGCTCCTTTCAGGGAATTCTTTTTCAGATTTACAGGGTGTGACAAGTTGAATTGTGTCTCCAGAAATTTGTATGTTGAAGTGTTGAACCCCAGAACCTTAGAATTAGACCTTCTTTGGAAATAAGGTTGTCGGGAGATGTACTTAGTTAAAATGAGGTCAACAGAGTGGGCCCTAATCCAATATAGTTGGTGTCTTTGTTAAAAAAGAAAGAAAATTTCGACACAGAGACAGCCAGGCATAGAGGGAAGACAATGTGAAGAGACAGAGAGAAGACAGCCATTTATGAGTTAAGAAAAGAGGCTGGGTTGTCCACAGTTGAAATGGATCCTTCCCTCTCCCCTCTCAAAAAAAAGCCAACCCTGCCAACACCTTGATTTTGGACTTTCAGCCTCCAGGCCTACGGGAATAAATTTCAGCTGTTTGTTTAGGCCACCCAGTTTGTTAAAGTAGACTTTGTTAAAAAGAACTTGAAATGAATGCACAACTGCTTGCTGAGCAGTTGAAACTTGGTTACGAAATCTTGAAGTTCAATACAGAAAGCACAATCATCCTAAAAAAGACGGGGAAATCCAGTTCTTACAATTTTTGCAATTTCATTACAGAACAAGTTTTCCTATTTTTAGCATACACTTAATGGTTTGAATTTGCATCCCACTATTATGCTTCAAAGACGTTTAAATAATGACTTTCCTGTATCCCCAAGCTTTAACTCCGTGGTTTGACTTTCATGATCCTTGACAATGTGGTCTTACTATAACTTCCCACACTCCTAACCTACTGCTGTTTTTCATGAACCTCGGAGTCCAGTCAAACTGAGACCAGTTCAAGAATAGGCCCGGGTATTCCTGCCTTTGCCCTTTATCATTCTGTTTAGAATGGCCTTTCCATTCTTCATCATTACACATGAAAAATCCAAAGTTAAGTCTTCCTTCAAGACCTAATGGCAACAAAACCCACATTTCCAAGAAGCTTTTCTTTCACTCAATTTAAGCAACCTCTGAACTTCCATTTTATAGCTTTGTTTCATTGATTTTTGTTTTAGTTATTTGGATGCATGTAGTGTTCTCTGATTGATTGTAAGTTCTTTAAGGCAAGAAGCTAGTAGTATATATATGTGTTGTTTGGGTTCCTTCCCACTCAGAAAAGTAAAAACTGAAACGAAAGCTTCATGTGTGGGTCATTTGTAGGTTTTTTTGTTGTTTGTTGCTTTTTATTTTATTTTTTTCTAGACTCCTTGAGTTAAGGGAAGTTTATTTGTTTGGAGAGGTGATCTCAGGGCTCAAGAGTGAGGGGAATGAAAAGAGTGACCAAGGAAGGGAAAGTCAATTCAAAAGCAAGTTGCTGAGCTGGTTTCCCCTGTGGGTAAGTGAAGCTCAGTGCCACTAGGGATTGTTTGAGAAAAGGTATAGATTCTATCTATCTCATTTTTAAGCTTAAGAACAGAAGAAAGAAGCCTTTATATAATGCCTCCCATCCCACAGTGGTATCCCTGGCACGTCCAGGCTTGTGCATGTATTAGAATGGTTGAACAGGCTTCTATAAGCATCTCATGCAGTGGTATCAGTGAAGTCATGGGACATATAGTGAAAGATACATGGTGTAGTTATAACAAGGTTCTCGTCAGATTACACTTGCCCAGAGCTGGCTGTCAGAGTAAAAAGGTCAACTGACAGGATGTTTGATGGGTATAAAAAGCTTCAGATATATCCATTCCTTACACTGCCCCATCTGCTCATGCTCTACTTACATAGTTCCCAAAGAGACAGATGCTATATGTAGAAGCACTAAGTATCAACTATATTCCTCCTTCTAATCAAGAGAGCAAAGGTTCTTGTGCATGTTAGTTCATGCAACCAGAATCTCAGCAAGCTTTCCAGCCATAGAAACCCGACTCTGATTTTCCATCTGGACTGAGGTGGAACAAACACTCTCTTAGTCTGGGCTTCCTCTGAAGCAGATCCTGAGACAAATATTCAGTGACAGGTAGTTTATCATAGGGGTGATCCCATGGAATACCCATAGAGGAATAAGTAAATCAGAAAAAAAAAATAGGAAGGAAGCCAATCAAGAATACTTTATCAAGCCATATCTGCTGTGGGACAACCAGAATTGTATCCTACTGGGGAACTCAGGGAGAATGTAAAGTATACCCCAGATTTATCTCAAAAAATGAGTAAGAAAAGTTGGGGTATTTATCCACCAACTCTCTTTCTGACATTAGTTGAAGGCTGTTTCCAAGGACAGCTTCCAGCATTTCTGAATTGCCCTTTGTGTGGGCATCATGGTAGTGGGTTGGGGGAGAACCTTCAGGCACAGAGTCTCCAGTATTATCAATGAGCAGCCATCAATGAGTTGAGTGGAATCCACCATGGAAATGAAGAAAGCATCAGCAGCTGTGGAGATATGCTATATAATCCCGGCTATACTCATAAAAGTCATGGAGTTCTCCAGTATTGAGCACGGCACACCAAAACACACACCACTGAAGAGAAACAGGTACTTCTCTTGACTTCATGATAAATTCAGAACTCAGTTATAGCAAAGAAACAAGTGTATCCCTCAAGTGTCAGAAATTAACTGTTTAAATCAAAGTTATATTTTTTTATTAATTTTCAACACCACATATAACCGGTGAACTGGGGCCTGAAAGTATGTGTTTTTACCTACATCATACACTCACAATTGTGTTGACATTTGTGTTGATGCAAAATAAAGTCCTTTTTGGAACTTCCAAAAGCAGCAATATCAACAAGAGGGATATTTTTCACTTGATGTGTAATCTACTTTTTTGCTTGCTCTGTCAGCTTAATATTAATAGCTGCCCTTAGGTTAGCCCAGAAAAGCCCATGTTTGCTCTTTTCCTTGGGCCATTCCAAATAAGTCCTCCTGGCCATGAGCGATTTGAGCTTGTGATAGCTGGTAGGAATGGTGTACTGCGGAATGGGTTCCAGCAAGATGAGGATTAAGTTATTAGATCCTTCATGGAAGAGATTGTGGTGGGCAAAGTAGAGTTCATAATGGCACCACTCACTCTGGACAAAGTTGGGAGACAAGACAAAGATGGACTTGTAACTCTTCTCAATGCAGTTGATGATATTTTCCACAATGCTCTTGCCAGGAACAAAGTTTCTCTCATGAAGGCAAATCTGCATACCTTCTTTCTCTAGGTTTGGTAATAATTCAGTCTTCACCCAGAAAGAATCGTGCCCACTATATGAAATAAAAGCATGAAACTGGAGATTTCTTTGGAGTTCTTCTAAGGGTACATTCCTGGCCCTGCGTCGGGTCTGGGTCCACTGGCACACCATCCTGAGATACCAGGGCAGATCCAAGTAGATGCAGAGGGAGGTCACAGTCACAGCCAACACCAGCATGGTGGCTCCAATGGTGACGATCAGCAGAGTTATGTTGCAGGATAAGTCAGACAGGTGAAAGTCCTTCAGTGGGGTTCCTCTATAACTATCTGGGTAGTCACACTTATAAGAATCAGGCCAGCCCTCTACTACTTCACTTGATACCTGGCCTATATTTTTGACAAATTCTCTTAGATCACAGGTACAGTGGAATGGATTGTTCCCTGCATTTATTGACCTCATCTTCTGGCAGCTCTGGAAGAAATCAGCTGATGGGTGGGAAACTGAATTGTGATCAATGATCAACACAGAAAGCCTGCTAAAGCTGCCACATCCAGGAAGGTCCGTTAAAGAATTGAAAGCAACATTGAGTTCCTGCAAAGCTTCCAGTTCTATGACTTGTTTAGGAATGCTCTTTATTTTATTGCTGTGAAGATCAAGTACCTTGATCCTGGGAGGTAAACATCTGAAAACAGAGTCAGTAAGTATATTTGAAGACATATTTAAACTTAATAAACTTTTAGTCCAAGAGCAATCTTCTTCATTTTCATCATAGCTTAGAGAATTCTGGCTAATATCCAATTGTTGCAGAGACTTCATCTGTTTAGTCATAAGAGCTATTTTTGAAAGTTCTTTTAATTGATTTGTTTGTAAAATAAGTGTCTCCAACTCAGTAAGGTGACCACAATTTTCAAAAACCGTGTCTGTTAAGAGATTATTGGAAAAATCCAAATACAGGAACGGGCTACTTTTGAATGGGCAAAGCATGTGGACCATGTGTGTACCAGACACTGTTAAATTTTTGATGTTCATATTTGAAAAGATGCTGTAGATATCACTTTGTGGAAAACTGAACACATCAGTGACAACTTGGTGTATTGACAAGGCCTTCAGGGAAGTGCCAGAATAATTAAAATTTCTGAAATCCAACTGACCCTGTAGTTTCACGTTTGAAATTGAGAAATACTGTATGGCTGCATGCCAAACCAGCTGGAAGATCCTAATGAAAGAATTCCAAGTTGTTTCAATGTTGTTTAAAGTAAGACTTGACAACTTTGGATTTGTTTGAAGTTTTGCCAGAATATTTAGGAAGTAAGAACATTCGTTATCTTCCAGCACACACTTGATATTAGATAGTTCTAGATTTGCTACAGTCCTGACTGACACATCCAAAATAAAATGGAATTCTTTATTTGCGGGGAAAACAATGTGCAGGCTCTCAGTGTTAAAGTCTTGAAGGCCCTCGGGGTCTTCTTTGTCCCCATAAGGCTCTCCTAAGACCAGCAAGACCTTACTGATATTCAAGTGAGCAATTGGCAGCACGCTAGTCTTTTCTAAGTGTGTAGCACTCAACCCCAGAAATTTTAGTTGAGACATACTGCCAAACTCTTTGCATATAGGCAGGGCATCAAATGCATTAAATGACAGGTCCAGGTGCCTGAGGTTCACAGTAGGGTGGCAAGAAATCTCAACCAACTTGTTGTGGGACAAATCCAAGTATTCCAATTCCTGGTTGAATTTGAAAACACTGATATCAAGATACTGGATTCTATTATGAGAAATTATCAAAACCCTCAGCTTCGACAGTAATAAGATGTCAGAAGTCTGTAGCTCAGATATATAATTTTGTGATATATTTAAGACTGTTGTTTTCTGGGATAAGTCTTTAGGAATGTGGATGAGACCGTTATTTGACCTATCAACTAAAAATTCACTTTCTTCAGATAATTGTGTTCTGATCTGAAGTATTAACATGAAGATAATGGCAAAATGGAAGATGCTAGTCATTTTGTAACACTAGACATTCCTAAAGGTAGAAGCTGTTCTTCAGAGCATCTTGATACAGATATAGATTCTAGAAAACAAAATACATAAAATGATGAAATACATTACATACATTTTAAAAATACATGAAATTAGTCATGGCTGACATTAAACATTTCTTTATTACAGACTCACAAAATGAAGTCTACATTCTTTCGGGTTACACAGTCTAAAACTAGGGAAGTATATATACATATAGGTAAATAATTATGCCAGCTCTAATCAAATGAATTTTAATACGGATAGGATAATAGGTTGATGGTGGCTCACAGAAAGATGTTTACATCTTAAGCATGTCCTAATCCCCAGAAGCCAGGAACGTTACCTTCCTTGGGAAAGGGGTCTTTGCAGAGATAATAAAGTTAAGGATCTTGACATGAGGAGATCATCCCAAATTATCCAGGCGGGCCATAAATCCAATGACAAGTGCCCTTATAAGAGAAAGGCAGAAGGATATTTGACAGAGAGACAAGAGAAGAGACAACAGAGACATAGAAGGCCATGTAACAGTGGAGGCAGAGACGAGTGCAGCAGCTACAAGGCAAGGGACAGCAATAGCTACCATAAGCTAGAGGAGGCTCTGGAGTGAGGGCAGCCCTGCTGACACCTTGAGTTTTGACTTCTACTTTCCAGATCGATAAAGGAAAAGCCACCTGTTTATGATAATTTGTTACAGCAGCCGCAGGAAGCTAATACAGATGGGTTCATGGAAAGTTCTCTGGCCCCAAGTTTCCCAAAGTAATTTAGAACTCCAGCTAAAACTCACATGGTGTACTTTCATTCTTTGACATGCATCTCCCTATGACTTTCTCAAGAGGTGTCCCAAATGCTGGTATTGGGACTGCTCTTCTATTACCCTTTATGACCTATACACAGTTTGGGTCTAACTTTGGTCTTATTTGAAAGGTAATTCAATCATTATAAAAGGTCTCTCAGAAGATCCATTTATTCATCCATTTATTTATTCAACCAATATTTATTGATCACCTCCTGGCCATGTTTCAGGAACTGGAGATAGACCAGCAAACAAGATAAAGTCCAAATTCCCAAGGAGCTTTTTACCTAGTGGGGAGACAGAAAATAAATGAATGACCAAACTCAAGTTCCTGTAGTGATAGGTTTTATTGAGAAAAATAAAGCAGGGTAAATTGTAGTAGGTATGAGACAGTGCTTGGGGGTGTCTTTTTTTTTTTTGAGACAGAGTCTCATTCTGTCACCCAGGCTGCTGGAGTGCAGTGGCACAATCTCGGTTCACTGCAACCTCCGCCTTCCATGTTCAAGCAATTCTCTGCCTCAGCCTTCCCACTAGCTGGGATTACAGGCACGCACCACCATGCCTGGCTAATTTTTGTATTTTTAGTAGAGATAGGGTTTCACCATCTGGCCAGGCTGGACTTGAATTCCTGACCTTGTGTTCCACCTGCCTCAGCCTCCCAAAGTGCTGGGATTAGAAGGCGTAAGCCACCAAGCCTGGCCTGGAGTGGCTATTTTGAGTGATGAGTTAGAGAAGGCCTTTTTGAGATGATGACACTAGAGTAGAAATCAGAATGAAGAGAATGAGTAACCTATAGGAAGATCTGCGGGAAGAGCATTTCTGGCAAAAGGCAAGTATGAAGGTCCTGAGACGAAATTGAGCTTGGCTTGCCTGAGAAGGAGTGGGAAGGTCAATGTTAGCATGGAATGAGGGAAGATGAGAGGAGTTACGGCCAAGATCACTCAGGCTTTGTCGATCATTGCAAGGAGTTGGGATTCTATTCCAAGAATGATGAGGGGGTGGCGAACATTAGAAGGTTTCAAGAAAGGGAGCTGTTTCCTCTTCTCTCTTGTTCAGAATACTTTTTTTACTCATTCATCAAATATGCATTTATTCTCTATGCGGTGGTAGGCATTGTTCTAGGTTAAGCCTATTGTACCAGCATTCAAACTGCTCTAGCTCAGACACAATTTTGTGGCCAGCATTCCAGTGGCATGTGAGAACAGAGGGAGCCATGTTAGGATGAACTCTAGAGTGTGCACGCCTCACCTCCAGAGACCTTTCAGCTAGGATTACACAGCTACACAGTTCTCACGAGGAACTTATTCAGAATCCCCTAGAACTGTCAGACAAGCAAGTCATCAGTATCAGCAAAGCACCAAATTCCTCTTTACATATCCCCTCCCATATCTCAATGAGCACAGAGAACCTAAATAATTCAAAATCCCCAATTTGGACATGCAAACTTTATCCGGGTTTTGGAGCCTTCCTTGGACTTACCCTTTTGTAGAGGCACCTGATATGCCTTTGTTATCCTGATTTCTTTTGCAGAGGAGGCCGATATGCCTTTGTTATCCTGATTTCTTCTAACATGGAAGAGGGCCTGGCACCCCTACTAGTGTTCATGAAGACCCTGAGCAAGGAAGATGAAGCAGACATGAAAGTTCATGTTAAAAGTCAAGGTGGTGTTTTTATGACATTGATTGTATTTGACTGAAAGACCCAGAAATTTCCCAATTCTTGGTCTCCAGCTTCCTGAAAGAGCTACTCACTCAAGGAGCAATACTTTAATGAACATCATACCTTGAATGTTTGTGCCCCACAGAATTCTTATGCTGAAATCCTAACCCCCAATATGATGGTATCAGCAGGAGAGAATTGGGAAGTAATTAGGTCATAAGGATAGAGCCTTTATGAGTCGGATTAGTACCCTTATAAAAAGGACTCCAGAGAGCTCTCTGGCTGTCTTCCTGCCATGTGAAAATACAAGAAGGTGGCATCTGCAAACCAGAAGAGGGCCCTCGCCAGAACCCAATCACATTACCACCCTGATCTCAGACTTCTCACCTCCAGAACTGTGAGAAATAAATGTCTGTTGTTTATAAGCCACCCAGTCTGTGGTACTTTGTTATGGCAATCCAAATGGACTAAAATAATAGGAATAAAAATAATACCCTGATGGAGTGCCTAATATCTCAAAACAGAGCAATCTGTTACAGGTCGAAGCAAAAGTGGTCTGGCCTAATGGTCCAAGTAGGGTCCCCTGCTTATTCCTATGCCTGAATCCAGATCAGGGCTCTTTCCAACTCCTAGCCAACACCAGAGTTCTTGGAAGCAGTGATCAGCATGGTCAGGCACAGTATGCAAAAGTGATCAGAGAGGTCAGGCACAGTGGCTCATGCCTGTAATCCCAGCACTTTTGGAGGCCGAGATGAGTGGATCACAAGGTCAGGAGTTTGAGACCAGCCAGGCCAACATAGTGAAACCCATCTCTACTAAAAAATATACAAAAAATTAGCTGGGTGAGGTGACACAGTCCAGTAATCCCAGCTACTCGAGAGGCAGAGGCAGGAGAATCACTTGAACTGGGTGGTGGAGGTTGCAGTGAGCCACGATTGCACCACTGCACTCCAACCTAGGGGACAGTGTAAAAAAAAAAAAGGTGATCATACAGACAGGACAGACAGGACCCCCTGCAAGGGTGTGAGTGCTTGCTTGCCTCACAGAACCTACCACAAGCAAGATGAAAATCGTCCTTTTTCCCTTAACAACAGCCATCGTCATAAAAAGATATAAATTTCTGAAACTGCCTGTCCCCAAGTGTTAGAGTAGGTATTTAGGCAGACATGAGCAGGGCAGGAGAAGCCGCCCCTCCCCCTCCCCACCCGCGCCCTACCAGGAATATCAGGTGACCATCACTTGATGGTCAGGCAGTTTTAAACAGTCTCTCTAGAATAATCATTGGCTGCAGCTGGCACCAGGGAAGGTCAGTCTCCTAATCGACAGAAAACACACCTGAAGCTGGTGGTTGGCAGCTTCTTGATAAATGCTCAGGAGTTGGGCAAGCAGGCTCAAGAATGCACATTAAAAGGCAAAATGGCGGACTTTAACTGGCATGTGATCTTCCTCTAGGAATGCTTGTCTGGGAAGGGGAAAATGTCTCCAATGAGCATGTGCATAGCTTCAGTAAACACAGTGTGCATGCAGCCCCCCGCAAGTGCTGGCAAGCACCCACCCCAAGGGAAGAATCAGTGGAGAAGAGACACAAGACCCCACAAGCCTGCCAACAAATAAGGCCCAAATCAAAGGTTAAACTAGGCACTTGGATCTCTCAAGTTGCCCACTCAGCCCTCTTCAAAGTATACTTTACTTCCTTTCGTTCCTGATATAAAACTGTCTCTTGCCCTGTCATCCAGGCTGGAAGGCAGTGGCATGATCTCTGCTCACTGCAACCTCCACCTTCTGGGTTAGAGTGATTCTCTTGCCTCAGCCTCCTGAGTAGCTGGGATTATAGGCACGTACCTACCACCATGCCCAGCTAATTTTTGTATTTTTAGTAGAGACGGGGTTTTGCCATGTTGGTCAGGCTGGTCTTGAACTCCTGACCTCATGATCTCCCCACCTCAGCCTCCCAAAGTGCTGGGATTACAGGCATAAGCCACCGTGCCCGGCCCTAAAACTTTTTAACAAACTCTCTGTAAGGAATGTGGCTATGCTTTGGTCAAGGATAGGCCAAGGTAAACATCCAAAGTAACTCAGCAAGTTTAAAGTGTAGGAGAGAGATCCAAGATGGCTGATGGTTAACAGCTCAGGATTGTGGCTCCCAGTGAAAGTTCAGAAAATGAGAGAATGCCACACTTTTAGATGAATTTTTGTTGCTCACGGACCAGGAGATTCCCAGCAGAGGAGCCCCACGGTTCGCCACCGTGACTCTTGTGGCCAGCGCGGTGGTTTTGCTGGCACCTTGGCACGGCAGTTTTTGGTGCAGAGTCAGAAAAGCACCATCAATCTTAACGCTGCTGTTTTAGCCGGCACAGTTGGTTGCTCAGATTCCGGCGCTGGGAATCAATAGATTGGACGTCCACTCAGAAACCTAATTAGAAAGGCGGTAATTACAAACACAACAGATGAATAAATTTATAACGAAGGGAAGAAACCAGCCTAAAAAGGCTGAGAATACCCAAAATCAGAATGCCTCTCCCTCTACAGGGGATTTCAGTTCCTCATCAGCAACAGAACAAGGCCTGATGGAGAAAGACTGTGTGTGTTCCATTAACAGAGGCAGGCTTCAGAAGGTGGATGATAAGAAACTTCTGGGAATTGAAGGAACTTGTTCCAACCCAATGCAAAGAAACTAAGAACTTTGAAAAAAGGTTTGATGAAATGCTAACAAGAATAGATAATATAGAGAGGAATATAAGTGAATTAACGGAGTTGAAAAATACAACACGAGAACTTCGTGAAGTATGCACAAGTTTTAACAGCCGAATTGATCACGCAGAAGAAAGGATATCAGAGGTTGAAGACCAACTTAATGAAATAAAATGAGAAGACAAGAATAGCATAAAAAGGATAAAAAGGAATGAGCAAAGTCTCCAAGAAATATGTGACTATGTGAAAAGACCTAATCTACGTTTGATAGGTGTACCTGAATACGATAAAGAGAATGAATCCAAGCTGGAAAATACTCTTCAGGATATTATTCAGGAAAACTTTCCCAACCTATCAAGGCAGGACAATATTCAACTCCAGGTAATACAGAGAACACCACAAAGATATTCCTCAAGAAGAGCAACCCCAAGGCACATAATTGTTAGATTCACCAGGGTTGAAATGAAGGAGAAAATACTAAGGGCAGCCAGAGAGAAAGGTCAGGTTACCCACAAAGGGAAGCCTATCAGACTCACAGCAGATCTCTCAGCAGAAACCCTACAGGCCAGAAGAGAGTGAGAGCCAATATTTAACATCCTTAAAGAAAAGAACTTTCAACCCAGAATTTCACATCCAGCCAAACTAAGCTTTAAAATTGAAGGAAAAATAAAATCTTTTGTGAACAAGCAAGTACTCAGAGATTTCATTACCACCAGGCCTGCTTTACAAGAGCTTCTGAAAGAAGCATTACATATAGAAAGGAACAATCAGTATTAGCCTTTCTAAAAATATACCAAAAAGCAAAGAGTATCAACATAAAGAAGAATTTATATCAACTAATGGGCAAAATAGCCAGCTAACATCAAATGGCAATAATCTTAAATTTAAATTGACTAAACCCCAATCAAAAGATACAGCTAAAACCCATCGGTATGCTGCATCCAGACCCATCTTACATGCAAGGATACATAAAGAGTCAAAACAAAGAGATGGAGAAAGATTTGTCAACCAAATGGAGAGCAAAAATAAACAAATAAATAACAAGTAGAGGTTTCAATTCTCTCCTCTGATGGAATGGATTTTAAAGCAACAAAGATCAAAAGAGGACATAATGGTAAAAGGATCAACGCAACAAGAAGAGCTGACGATCCTGGATGTGTACGCACCCAATACAGGATACATAAGACTTGTAAAGAGACTTGGACTCCCACACAGTAGTAGTGGGAGATTTCAACATCAATATTAGATAGATCAACGAGAGAGAAAATTAACAAGGATATACATGACTTGAACTCAGATCCAGAACAAGTAAACTTAATAAACATTTATAGAACTCTCCACTTTAAATACACAAGATATGCACTATTATCAGTACCACATCACACCTACTCACAGGTTTAAATGAAATATTGGTTGGCCATTATTAAGCACAATTGATGGTATAAGGGAGGTTTTCAATACCCATTTTTAGACTGCATTCCAGCCTGGGCAATTAAGCAACACTTGCATTCTCTCTCCCTCCTCCTCTTCCTCTTTTTTCCTCTTCTTCATTCCTTTTTCTTTTTTTCTTTCTTTCTCTCTTTCTTTCTTAAAAAAGAAAAAGTTTAAAGTGCAGGCGTATAACTCTACATGTTATCAGTCATGTAGATGTAACATAGAGAGAAGCTCACCACCATAGTCAGAACATAGGTATGCCTCATCACTTGGCTCTAAGCCACTATTGTCTGTAAAATGTATAATTGCCCTACTGACACTGTACAGGCATGCTGAGCCCAGAGAAAGAGAGAGAGACAAAGCTGTCCGTCTTTGCAGATGGACAGAGGGGAGCCAGGATACAGCTCGGCTCACTTGTGCCCAGAGAGAATAAGAGTTAAGCTGCTGATCCTGAAGGCAAGGGAGAGCCAGATGCACAGCTGTATGTGGAAGCCGCAGGAGTAAGCATCTGGGAAAAGGCAGACGTCTGAGAGAACCAGTGTAAGTAAGGTGCTGATGCAGGCTGCTGCTGAATACAATCACCTTTCGCCTGCCTACGCCCCCTGAGTGTTCTTTCAGCTATCTGCTCATCACCCACTCCCCTCAGACCTCCGTAAGGGCTGGAACCTGTCCTGGACATGACACCATCACTCTTCCTCTACAACTTGCCTCAGTCTGTCACTCTGCCTTATGCCCCTCAGACAAGTTCTTTGCAGCAAGAGGGCAAGAATCAAGTTGCTACAGATCCATGTGGATTGAGTGCTGCTAACACAAGCATCTAGTGAAATCACGGCTTCAGTTTTATGTTGGGCTAAGTTAATTGACTCAAATATCTTCTATTTGCCCAATCTCCATTTTGCCCTTTCATTTAAAGTCATTAATTTCAGGTACTCAATTTACAAAACCATTATTATTTCTATAATTAAGAAATCAAAATGTTATACACAGGAATAACTGATTTTCTAGGATCTTTGAGTTTTATATACCAAACTTGCTAAATCAATGAAAATTAATGTCTCAGCTTCCTAGACCAAAGTATTTTTTGATCAAAATACTATTTGACTACCAAGAAAAAAACAAGCTGAGCAGAAAAGAATGCTTTAATTTGAAAGTGTAAAATGCCTCTAGGTATGTTTCTGTCAATTTTCATTATTATTATAGGTTTAGCCTCACATTATGTGACACAATGAATCAATACATTTAATTTGTCGTAGTTTGGAGACTTTGGGGACATCAGATCAAGGCTTAGACTGGTCTTAATGGAAAATACCCATACAATTTATCCGGCTGATTAAGTTTAGTCCCCGTAAATATTTACTAAAGGCCTTCTCTGCACAAGACCAACTAGCCATTAACTACAGGTTAATAGAATCTGAGCTAGTTCAAGAACTGTTCTGCTTTGTTTCCTATGTGGTCTTGTGACCTTTTGCTTTTTGTTTGTTATAAAGACATATAAAACACATTCACTTTAAAGTCTTTTGACCAAATCAGGTATAGCCTGGGACGCGTTTTTAAAACCTGCAATTCTACCTGACTAGCTTCCCACAACAGTGTTAGTGGCCTGAGAAACAGAAGGACTAGCTAGTGGGAAAGGCCCAGAGGAAAAAACTGAAACAAACCTGCCCATAAAAGTAGAAGAGTTGAACAGCAGCATTGCCTCTGGGAGGAACTGACTTATATCTCATTTTCCTTAACATTGCAAAGAGAATATGAAAGGCGGGATGGGGTGAAGAGAAATGCCGACTGAAATCAACAACTACCAGCTGCTCTGGAAGAAAACCAGAAGACGTTTGTGACCCAAATATTTATTTCCCAACTCAAAAATATTTCTGGTAAGCACATCACATACAAGGTGTTATTCCAGGAGCAGCAGGGGAACTTTCCCTGGTTTAGGACTCAGAACTGATACACAAATGCCAGTACAAACTACATGGTAACTATGTACATATCAGAAGTATAACCCACTTAGAAAAACACCCAGGACTTACACAGACTTTTGAAATTTCTGTACTTAATAACTAGCTATACAATTATTTTGTTTCACAAAATAAAATAAGATGTCGCTTACCAAGACAACCTGCTTGTCTGTTCCGTTTAGCAGTCTGTAAGAAACTCAAGCACTTCCTTGGAGATTTATTTCACTGTTAACCACATTTAGTGTTGAAAACAAAACAAAACAAAAAAGCTCTTCTATGCCACCTACCGAATTCCACTGGAATTACATTACATAGTTAAGAATAAACTTATTTTCTCTTATTCATATGCAGTATAGCCTGTGGGTTAACTGATGGGCCTGTATTAAAACAGAATCATGTTTCTATGGTTCTGTATTTCGCTACAGTCAGTTTACTATTGTTTACGCTGATGAAGTGAATGAGGTAGACTTAATAATCCACAGATCATAAGTGGCTGAATTCAAAATGCCTGGGTGGCCATGCTGGCAGAAGTGTGCATCTGGGTGCATTTTGGCTTTGTTTTTCCTCTTGCCTTTTCATCCATCCACTATTCAAAGTGAAAAATCCGGGGGTCAAGATTAAAGTTTTGCTGAAGCACATTCGTAAGGAGGGAAGACCATTCATGTGCTGGTTACAGGATGGATGTTAGTCACGTCTTTTTTGACAAGTTGATTTTCAGAGAAAATTTAGTGCTGAATTTTTTTCCACTGATCTTTTCAAACTTTCTTCAAAACATATTTTTATAAACTCTAAGTGAAAAACGTGCTAAGAAGAAAAGAGATTCTTAGCACGTTTTTCACATGGGGTTTATAAAAATCATGGGGTTTCTTGTCAGCATTCAAGGAAGCATTCAGATAGCTCTGCCCTTGTCTTTTCCAATAATAACAACAACAAAATAACAAAACAAAAAAGGGCAAATAGAGCTAAGGGGTTCCAGCTGACTGCCTCTGAACTCGATCTCAGCCCATATGGTGTCCAGTCACAAACCGGATGTGGGGATGACAAAACTGCCTCCATTCCCACCCTCCCTAATCCTCACCCATCATCAGCTTTTCTACCACAGCCAGTAGGCCAACTGCCCTAAACTGAGAACGCTGAGATCCTTTTCGACGTGGAATGTTCTTATCGTCTCTGTTTCCCCTTACTTCAGAATTTCAGAGGGGAAATGTGTTATGTCCAAAAATATTTTCTGAAACTGAAAGAATGAAATCACCTACCTGCCATTTCCTCCCTGAGACGCATAACTGGACAGGAGGGAGGTGTCTTTGACTAAGAATTTAGTTCCTGGCTCCCAAAGGCATTGACTTTGTGAATCGAGACTGAGGGAGCAACGCCCAGGGGAGAGAAGTCGGCAGGGCAGTAAGGGAACTGCCTCAGCACTCTGAATTCTGTCGAAATTTCCCCACTGACTCATCACCACTCGCAGCTGTGTACATGATTACAGGTGTGTGTGTCTCTGCCCTCACAAGCCCATACCTGGGCATTTCTTTTTGGATCCAGGGCAGTAAAAATATGCTGTCAGTGAGATGTGATCTGCAGTTAGTTGTGTTTTTTTTTTTTTTTTTTTTGAGACAGAGTTTCGCTCTTGTTACCCAGGCTGGAGTGCAATGGCGCAATCTCGGCTCACTGCAACCTCCACCCCCTGGGTTCAGGCAGTTCTCCTGCCTCAGCCTCTTGAGTAGCTGGGATTACAGGCACGCGCCACCGTGCCCAGCTAATTTTTTGTAATTTTTAGTAGAGACAGGGTTTCACCATGTTGACCAGGATGGTCTCGATCTGTTGACCTAGTGATCCACCCGCCTCGGCCTCCCAGTTGTGTTTTCTTTTAACAAAACTTTATTGAGATATAATTCACGAGCCATAAAAAATTTCCCCCATTGGGCCGGGCGCGGTGGCTTAAGCCTGTAATCCCAGCACTTTGGGAGGTCGAGGAGGGTGGATCAGGAGGTCAAGAGATCAAGACCATCCTGGTCAAAATGGTGAAACCCCGTTTCTAGCAAAGATACAAAAAAATCAGCTGGGCATGATGGCGCATGCCTGTAATCCCAACCCAGAAGGCTGAGGCAGGAGAATTTCCTGAACCCAGGAGGTGGAGGTTGCGGTGAGCCGAGATCGCGCCATTGCACTCCAGCCTGGGTAACAAAAAACAAATTTCATCCATTCAAAATGTATAATTCAGGCCTGGACATGGTGGTTCATGCCTATGATCCCAGTAGTTTGGGAGGCTGAGGCAGGTGAAACACTTGAGGTCAGGAGTTCGAGACCAGCCTGGCCAACATGGTGAAACCCTGTCTCTACTAAAAAACACAAAAATTAGCCAGGTGTGGTGGCAGGCACCTGTAATCCCAGCTACTCAGGAGGCTGAGGCAGGAGAATCGCTTGAACCCAAGAGGCAGAGGTTGCAATGAGCCGAGATCACGCCACTGCACTCCAGCCTGGGTGACAGAGCAAGACTCCATCTCAAAAAATTAATTAATTAATTAAAATGTATAATTCAGAAGCATCCACCTGCCTCTTTCTCCCCCTGTTATCCAGCGGATCACCATTGAACAAACGTGCACTTGTAATCATGCACACCCACGCCTCGACACAGCTGCGTCTCCCAGGGAAAACTGCCATTCTCAGAGAATACAGCTTCCTTTTAAAAATTTTTAAAATATTTTATTTAACCTAATATATCCAAAATATTATTTCATATGCAATGAATATAAAACTTTATTAATGAGATATTTCATTTGTTTTCATTCTAAGTCTTCAAAATTATGGTGCATTTTCTGCAACTGTGTCCATAAAGCTAAGGTCCTCTGCTTGTTTCTGGACTCCAACAGATTGTAGTAAGCTCCATCCCCATGGTGGCTTGGTCGCCCCCACTGCTCTTGCATGGAGGCAACCTTGGCCCCACCCCTAGTCACTAGGCTGGGGAAAAGTCCACCTTGGAACACAGAGACTGGAGTTCTTTTACAGAGGCCTTTTCCTTCTCCTTCTTCTGGTAGGACAGTAGGAAGGGTCTAAGCTGTTGATCAAAATTCAGGTCTTTCAAAGGCCCACTCATCTGGCACTGGGTTGCTGATCTATTTTTTCTTTGCCTACTCCAGCTGAGATCAGATCATACCAGTTTGTTTCCTGGTCATTCTAACTGGGCCTTTTAGGCCTCCCTGTTTTAGTTCAGCAGAATTGGCTTCTCCCTTTTCCCCTTTTCCTTTAGTAACAAGTCAGGCTTTATCTCTAATCTTTCCAGTTTTTCCAAACTCACCTGTGGCTTCTCCCATTATCATATACATCTCTTACCACAAGGGGGATCGACAGGGACCTGAGAGGACCGTTCCACTCCCACAGGCCAGCTTTCAGCAACTTAATTTTCATGCCCGAGGTAAACATAGCTTTATCAAGTTTTGCAGACTGTTGGGTATAAACTACCTGATGTATGCTCATCAACTCCCTTAAATTGCTCTGTGCTTCCTCCAGAGAGCGCCATGCCAGGGTCCGACCTGGGAAATCTCCTTCATCTGGCCAGGCCTCTTTCACAGGCAGGATAATCCAGTCCATAAGACTATGATTGTCCTCCACGGTTTTAGTATTGTGCAAATACTGTCTCCAAGCAGGATGAGTGGGTAATGTTACTCATTTTTCCAGCTTCACTCCGCGCTAAGGAAATATTATCCCCACAAGTGTCCCATAGCTGCATCATCCATGAGGCTAAGCTTTCTCTTTGCAGCTATTTAAAAGTGTTTGCTCTGCCCACTAATTCTGCCAAGGTGTACTCATGGACAGTTAAGGTTGCCTGGGAAGGCTGTCAGTTATTGCCTGGCTGCATGTGTTGGGCTTTTGCGTTCTTCTGCATGAGTGGTCTTGCTCTCAGAAGGGAAGAATAGCTATCCTTGTCCTCCAAAATAACCTCTACATCTTTATCTGACTCACTAGTTGGTTGCCAAAGATTAGCATCCCAGTCCAGTTTGGCAAGGACAGCTCACACTTTCAGCCAGCACAACTTCCTCCCTATCAGCCAGATAAAGTGGCAGGCTAGGGTTTCCCTTAGTCCTTAAGCTCTTATTCTTAGAGTTTCCATCTCATCAAGCTCATCCACCAAGCTGGATGCCAACACAAATGTGGAAGTTCTCATATGCTTTCCTGTCACTCTTCCTCTGGCTTTTATAACATCACCTCAACCACGACCTGTGGTCTGTGGCCAACTCACACAGCCCATAACAGTGGCAAGCTCATGTTGTCACCACTCAGTGACCCTTCTTACCACAGTGGGTCATAGAGTTTTGGATTAACAAGCCTTTGAGACCCTCTGGCATTTTCAGGGCACCCCAGTACTCACCTGGCAGTCCACAGGCATCTAGCAAACAGGCAATGTCACACTACATAGATGAGAAGAGCCCTGACATCTCCCCGAGGATACTTCCTTCTTCTCACCCATACATTGGTTTCCTGGCTCCTCCTGGCTGGCCAGGCGACTAACTGTTCCATGAAAGGGTCATTGCTGAGTCTGTCCCGCAGACTCTGGCCGAGTGACAGAAAAACAGAGTACACAGACACAAGCTTGCTGTCAGTGAAGCTAGGGAACCCCTGCCAGAGTGAGCGGCAGCCTTGATAAGCCAGCGACGCTCTCTTTTATTTAGTAGATTTGATGACACGGGCCTAGAGCAAGCACAGTTTGTGGGTAATAAACATTGTCAACCCCCTAAATAGAAAGCAGTCCTGCCTGTGAATGATCACAGGTTGGTTTTAGGACAACATAAGTAACAAGCTATTTAGATCAACTCCTCTACATTCCCTTGTTAACTGCCTTTTGCCCCAGGGTAAGAACAGCCGCCTTCAGCTCATTCTTTCCCAAAGCTTTTGCAAACCTCCTGGCCTTCCAAGAACATTTGTGTCTTTCTTATAATTTTTCCCACCACCCTAACCGGTCTTCTACATCTCCCCCTTTCCTGTGTTTTGCATCAGGTATTGTTGATTGAGGAGCACAGATGTGTGCAGCAACAGGTTTGTCAGGCACAGTGGTTATAAGTAGCGTTCTGGCTTTGCATCCTAGAATTAGTAAATAATGAGACAAACATGAGTATGATCAGTAACATTTTTTTTCCAATCAAGGAGTGACCTGTAGTGTTACTTGGCACCTCAGTCCACTGTGTGCCATTAATGAAGCAACCCCACTGGGGGAATGTTAATCCTTTCTAGCCAAGAAGTCGAATTTATTAGAGGCTGGGAAGGGAGTGTCTGCCTAAATAACAGTCAGAAAAAAGGCAGATATAGAAGACGGTCTTTCTAGAGTGTGGCAGGTACAGGTAGCAGGCAAAGTGAGAGAATAAAGAAGGGACAAATTATCTGGAGTGAATGGTGTTTGTGTTTGGAGCAGGATTTGCTCGGTCTTCTGAGCCGTCTTCTTCAGCATTCCCCAGGTGATGTCTGGGACTTGTGTCATCCAAGGGAGCCACATTGTCTGGGGCTGCGGGTCCTGCAGCGTCATTTCCTTCATTTCTGGTACTGGGTTGGGTTTACATCAAACCATAGTAAGGTTTGATGTGTCATGCTGGAATCTAAAGAGGAGGCGTGAGCACAATCATATCCTCTTCTCCATATTAGCACATCGTTTGGACCGCACCATACATTACTATTCGCATCTTTGCATAAAACTGCAGGTTTTATGTCTTGTTAGCAAAGCGCTTTTCTACAGCTGATTGAAATTTATTATTTAAATTTCAGAAATTCAAGGTAAATAAGGCTTGTGATAGTAGGGTTGCAGGGTCCTTACTCATATTCCCCTTCTTTTGTTTTCTGAGCATATTTTTAAGGGTGGGGTGGGCTTGAGAGTGGACTTAATGAGGGCTGTTTTAAGGTACTGCGATAAATGAATAGAGTAAGCAGAGTCATTAAAAGGCATTAGCGTGTTAGGTATGGGGGAGTGAACTACTTTTGTAGGCATGACTACAGGAGATAAGAACTGAAGCAGTTTGTCAGCAGGAAGGGCATGCTCTATACAGCCTGCATAATCAGAGAGCTATCTAAAGATCTAGTGAGGAATTCTTATGACAACAGGGTCATAACCTAGCAACAGATTGCATCATCTGTGGCCCATAGAGATGACTTTACTAACTAGCTGGATATAGGGAGATAGTGTTTTAGTTCCAGTATGTGAGCAAAAGACCCATTCTAGGAAGCATAGCCCTGGGGTCATCTGTCCTAGTAATCCTGTTGGGGAATGTTCAGTAGGAAAAACAAACAATTGAACTGAATATTTTGGGTCTCTGTGATCTAGTTGCCTAGAGAAATAGCTTGTTCTGTTTCCTCAATTTCCTTTTGTGCTGCAGGGGTTAAATATCTGGCAGAACCTAGGGCTGTATTGCCCTTCAGGATAGAAAACAGGTTTTGCAACTGTTCAGTAGTTATGCCAAAGATCCGGTGAAGCCAGTTCATATCACCCAGTAATTTTTTTTAAGACAGAGTTTCACTCTTGTTGACCGAGCTGGAGTGCAGTGACACAATCTCGGCTCGCCACAAACTCTGCCTCCCAGGTTCAAGCAATTCTCCTGCCTCAGCCTCCCAAGAAGCTGAGATTACATGAGCCTGAAACAACACCCAGCTAATTTTGTTTTTTGTTTTTTTTTGAGACAGAGTCTTGCTCTGTTGCCAGGCTGGAGTGCAGTGGCACAATCTCGGCTCACTTCAACCTTCACCTCCTGGGTTCAAGCGATTCTTCCACCTCAGCCTCCTGAGTAGGTGGGACCAGAAGCACGTGCCACCATGCCCAGCTAATTTTTGTATTTTTAGTAGAGACAGGGTTTCACCGTGTTGGCCAGGATGGTCTCGATCTCTTGACTTTGTGATCCGCCCACCTTGGCCTCCCAAAGTGCTGGGATTATAGGCGTGAGCCACCACGCCTGGCCTAATTTTGTATTTTTTAGTAGAGACAGGGTTTCTCCATGTTGGCCAGGCTGGTATCAAACTCCTGACTTCAGGTGATCCACCCACCTCAGCCTCCCAAAGTGCTGGGACTACAGGCACGAGCCACCATTCCTGGCCTACCCTGTAATTTTTGATAATAATTTAAAGTATGTAAGTTTCTAGAATTTAACTTAATCCTCTGGGGTCTTACTGACCAGGAAGTTAGTATGAATCCAAGATATTTGCAAGGAGAGGACATTTGTACTTTTTCAGGTGCTATGATTGAACCTCTTAACTATGTATTTCTTTGGACAGAGACGTCTAAACTTAAAAATACTGGCTCCATTGGGGCTGCTAATAGAATATCATTCATAAAATGAATGATATTGCAGTTAGGAAATTCTTTTCTACTGGGGAGCAAAGCCTGATTTACATGATACTGACACCTAGTAGGACAGGTCAGTATTCCTTGAGGAAGCACTTTCTAATGTAATCGCGAGCTGGCCTTTCATTTTTGATAGATGGTATTATAAACACAGATTTTTATCTGTCCTGTTCTGCAAGGGGAATAGTATAAAAGCAGTCTTTTCAGTAAATAATAACTATAGGCCAGTTTTGAGGAATTGCCCTGGGGTAAGGGAGCCCCAGTTGAAGGGACCCCATAGGTTGCATATTAGCACTAGCAGCCTGTAAGTTAAGCAAAAGTCTCCATTTGCCATACTTTTTGGGAGCAATGAAAATGGGCAAATTCCAAGGACTCTTAGATGGTTCTGTATGGCCAGCTTTTAATTGCTCCTCAACTAATTCATGTTAGTAATTTCTCTTCCTTTAAAGGTCACTGTTCTACCCAAATAGGATTTTGAGAGAGTCAGGAGTAGGAGAGGAATAATAGCGGTCATTATTAGAAAAGGGTTTGCTGTTCACATAATTCAGCAAATTCTGCCCTCCAGAGGAGGTACGGACTGGCATCTAGAGTTGTTTTAGCACCAACCAGTCCCATGGGCTCATACGGAAGTTGTCTGCTATGGCCTCAATTGATCCTTTCATAAGTGGGCTAGTAGCTCCATTTTCTCTAATGCTTTTTCTTATCTCTTTATTAGCATCAAAAGAAACGTGTTCATACACCTGATTGCCTTGTTGATTTTGCATTACTGGGCAGGTCAAGAGCTCCCCTTCTAATGCCTTTTGCCTAAGACAGGGTCCCATAGCTGTAGTGTCTCCCTTGTTATTGTTCCAATTTGTTGTGGGAGGGGGCTTAGGGACAACCTCTGTTTCTTCTGTGGAACTTTTACTCAGTAATGGTGGGGCTAAGGGAGGAAGACGAGGTAGTAAGGTAGGTGATGGTTTGTCTTCCTTTCCCTTTTTGGGCTCTTCTGTGTAGAGTGGAACCAAAGCAGCCATGACTAAGGCCTATAATGTTAGAGATGTTACTGGGACCCATTGCCTTGTGCATGATTGCATTTAAGATTCCTCCCCACTCATTCCCAGAGCTCTACATCTAGCACGCCTTCTTCTGGGAACCATGGGTTATGGGAGACAACAGTTTGCATTAGGTCCTTTAATTGAGTCTGTGAAACTGAGGCTCTGCTAGCTTCAAGCAGCTGTTTCAATACTTTTATCTACTGTTTCTGTTGATCTGATAACTGTTGTCCCGTGCTGATAACTGTTTTCCCATGATGTAACCCTAGCTTGAACAATTCCCTCAAATTTGGAGTGGGCACCAAAGACTTACTAACTTACTGACTGCATACTCTCTTCAGCTTCATTTTTGAGGGTTCTGTCACAATCTGTTGCAGCGTTCCTCGCACGGGGCACCAGCTGCCAACTCTGTCCTGAAGACTCTTGCTGAACAACAGATGAACGGAGTATGCAGACACAGGCCTGCCTGTCAGCACAGCTAGGGGACCCCTGCAAGAGTCAGCAGCAGCCTTGATAAGCTGGCGATGCTCACATTTATTTAGTACAGATTCAATGACAATGGCCCAAAGCAAACACAATTGATGGGTAATAAACATTGTCGACCCCCTGAGAAGAGAGAAATCCTACACAGGAACGATCAAAGGTCAGTTTTAGGACAACATGAGTAAACAAGCAGCCCCAAGTGCTGAAGGAGCCAAAAAAACTGAAGAATGAGAAAGACAATTCCCGTTTGTTGGTAAAGGGTCATTTATTAAGGGAACTTGCAGAAATGTGGTCTTGGGCAGCAACAAGGCTAGTAACTCGATAAACCACTACAGGGCTTACATAGCATCTGGAAAGGGGGCTCTATATCAAGGGTCCCCAACTCCTGGGCTGTGAACTGGTACCAGTCAGTGATCTGTTAGGAACCAGGCTGCACAAGTGGAGGTGAGCAGCAAGCAAGCAAGCATGACCACCTGAGCTCTGCCTCCTGTCAGATCAGCCACAGCATTAGATTCTCATAGAAGTGCAAACCCTATTTTGAACTGCACATGCCGGAGATCTAGGTTGTGCCCTTCTTATGAGAATCTAACTATGGCTGATGATCTGAGATAGAACAGGTTCATCCCAAAACCACCTCCCAAACCCCCATCCATGGATGGCCTGTATGTGTGATAAGGTCAAGGTTGCTTGAACTAAAGTGAGGATCTATAATGAGAACCCTAAGGATAGTAAATAAAGTAGGAATCAGGAGGCATTCATGGGACTGAAGCTAATCAGAAGTCAACAAGGTGGATTAGCACCCAAGATGGAGCCACTTTTGTCTTGATATTATTTTACATTCCCATCAGCAAAAGTTAAGAGTTTTAATTTCTTTACATCCTTGCTAACTTGGGAGGTGGAGGAAGGAGAATCACTTGAACTTGGGAGGCAGCGATTGCAGTGAGCCGAGCTCACACCATTGCACTCCAGCCTGGGCAACAGAGTGAGGCTCTGTCTCAAAAAAAAAAGTTTTCTGATTCATGGGCATGGGATATCTTTTACTGACTTTGGCCTTTCATTTTTTTTTTTCAATGTCTTTTATGGTTTCAGAGTATATGTTTTGCATTTCCTTTGTTCAAGTTATTTCTAAGTATATTTTGATGCATTGTTCTTCAAGTTTTCAGTTTGTTCATTGCTGCTGTATAGAAATATCATTGATTTTTATGTAGTGATATGTATCTTGCCACCTTGCTGAACTCATTTATTAATTCTAATGGTTTTTTAGTGGTGTTATAGACTAAATGTATGTGCTCCCCCAAAATTTATATGTTGAAATCCTAACCCTCAATGTGACACTATCAGGAAGTGGTACATTTGGGAGGTAATCAGGTCTTAAGAATGGAGCCCTCACGAATGAAACTGCTGCCCTTATAAAAAAGACCACAAAGAGCTCTTTAGTCCTTTTTCTGCTATGTGAGGGTACAACAAAAGATGGCAGGCTACAACCCAGAAAAGAGCCCTCACCAGAAGCGAACTATGCTGACACTCTGATCTCAGACCTCCAGGCTCCAGAACTGTGAGAAATAAATTTATGTTGTTTATAAGCCACCCAGTTTCTAGCACTTTGAGTAAGACCAGTAGATTTCTAAGTATTTGCTATAAAGAAAATGATGTCATCTGCAAATAGAGGCAGTTTTACTTCTTTCCTTTCTGATATGAATTCTTAACTCCTAATTGCCCTGGCTAGTACCTCCACTACAATGTTGAATAGAAGTGGTGAAGGCAGGGTCAGGCACAGTGGGTCATACCTGTAATCTCAGCACTTTGGGAGGCTGAGGCTGGAGGATCACTTGAGGCCAGGAGTTCAAGATGAGCATATGCAACATAGGGAGACTCTGTCTCTACAAAAAAAATACAAAAATTAGCCAGGTGTGGTGACGTGTGCCTAAACTCCTAGCTACTCAGGAGGCTGAGGTCAGGGGATTGCTTGAGCCTGGAGGTCAAGGCTTCAGTGAGCTGTAATCACTCCACTACTATCTAGCCTGAGTAACAGAATGAGATCTTGTCTCAAAAAAAAGTAATGAGAGCAGGTATCCTTATCTTGTTCCTGATGTTGGGGGGAAAGCTTTAAGTATATGTTTTACCATTAAATATATGCTGTAAGTTTTTCCATAGATGCTTTTATTAATTGAGAAAGTCTTCTTTTATTCCTGGCTTCTTGTGTATTTTTGAAGGAGTAGAGAGTATGGTTTTTTTTTTTTTTTTTTTTTTTTTTTGAGACAGAGTTTCGCTCTTGTTGCCCAGGCTGGAGTGCAATGGCGCAATCTCAGCTCACCGCAACCTCTGCCTCCTGGATTCAGGCAATTCTCCTGCCTCAGCCTCCTGAGTAGCTGGGATTACAGGCACATACCACCATGCCCAGCTAATTTTTTGTATTTTTAGTAGAGACGGGGTTTCACCATGTTGACCAGGATGGTCTCGATCTCTTGACCTCGTGATCCACCCGCCTCAGCCTCCCAAAGTGCTGGGATTACAGGCATGAGCCACTGCACCCGACCCAAGAGTATGGTTTCTTAATCAATAAGGAAGGAAACAAATGCTATGGGCACAGTGTCACAATTTGTGAGGTGCTTCTCACAGTGAGGTTAGCACTCACATCAATGTGCAGAGCAGTGATCTTTTTTTTCTCTTTTTCTCCCTACTGCCTCTACACAATCCTGTAGCTTTTCTTACCCACCTGATCCTAGAACTTCAAAACTGCATCCTGTAAACTTGTTGGGAATGAGAAGTGTCATCACTTGGACATTTGCCTTTTAATAAATTCTCCCTTAACAACCTTAATTTTCCAGCCAAATTTTTTAAATTGCCACGGATGTATCAGTACCTGAGTAAATCTTAGGTCATGACCAGCCATCCTCAGCTCTGTCTGAGGGGAGATTTGCCCTTTCCATTTCACAAAATGTTATAAGCACCTTTGTACACAATCTTGGTCTGAATCTTTTACTACTGCTGTAGGATCAATTTCTAGGAAAGAATGACTAGATTGAAGGATATGAGCATTGTTATGTTACCTACCACCAAATCCTCTCCACAAAGGTTGTTCCAACTTACCTGCCCTCCAAGAGTGTGCTAGAGTAGACATTCTACATATCCTCCACAAAAATAACATTTTAGAGATCTGTCAATTTGATCGATATAGAATGATATCTCATTATCATTTTATTTTTATTTTCTTTAATTATAAATGTCACTGGATGTTTTTTCATGTTTATTGGCAATATGTATCTCTTTAGTGAATTACCTGTTCATGTCATTTACCTATTTTTATATCAGGGTTCTGTTTGTTACAATTTAATTGTGTAATGGTCCATTCTTGCACTGCTGAAAAAAAAAACCAGAGACGAGGTACTTTATAAAGGAGTGAGGTTTAATTGGTTCACAGTTCTGCAGGCTGTACAGGAAACACAGTGGCTTCTGATTCTGGCGATGTCTCAGGAAACTTACAATCATGGCAAAAAGTGAACAAGAGAGCAAGAACATGGCCAGAGCAGGAATGGGGGTGGGGGTGCTACACACTTTTAAACAACCGGATCTCATGATATGATAACTCACTTACTCACCAGCATGAGAACAGCACCAAGGGGACTGATACTAACATGAGAACTCTACCCCCATCCAATCACCTCCCACCTGGCCCCACCTCCAACATGGGGGATTATAATTGGACATGAGATTTAGTGGGGACACAGATCCAAGTCGTATCATTTCACCCCCTGCCCCTCCAAATTTCATGTCCTCTCATATTGCAAAACACAATCATCCCTTCTCAGCAGTCCCCCAAAGTCTTAATCTCATTCCAGCATTAACTCAAAAGAAGTCCAAAGTCTTGTCTGAGACAAAGCAAGTCCCTTCCACTTATGAGTCTGTAAAACCATAAGCAAGTTATTTACTCTCAAACAGTGAAGGTACAGACATTCAGTAAATACTACTGTTCCAAAAGGGAGAAATCAGCCAAAAGAATGGGGCTACAGGCCCCATGCTAGTCTGAAACCCAGCTGCCATGCCACATTTTGAACACTTTTCTTCTTAGAAATTTATTCTGCCAGATACCCTAAATGAGCTCTCTCAAGTTCAAAGTTCCACAGATCCCTAGGGTAGGGACACAATGTTTCCAAGTTCTTTGCTAACACTTAACAAAAGTGACCTTTGCTCCAGTTCCCAATAAGTTCCTCATTTCTATCTGAGACCTCTTCAGCCTAGATTTCATTGTCCATGTCACTATCAGCATTTTGGTCAAATCAATTTAACAAGTCTCCTGGAATTTCCAAATTTTCCCTCATCTTCCATCTTCCATCTTTTGCTGAGCTCTCCACACTCTTCCAACCTCTGCCTGTTATCCAATTCCAAAGCTGCTTCCACATTTTCAGGTATTTGTACAGCAATGCCCCCACCCACCCCCACCTCCGCCTTGATACCAATTTTCTGTTTTAGTCCATTCTTGCAGTACTATAAAGAAACAACTGAGACTAGCTAATTTGTAGAAAAGGAATTTAATTGTGAGACCTCGGTCACATTGGGGTCACCATCTGAGACCTTGATTACGTTGGGGTGACCACCTGAGACATTGATCCCCACCTGCAGAGGTCTGTCCTGAAGACCCTGACTTAATGACCAGATGAATGAATGCACTCACACACACCAGAATACAGTGAATCTGAGTGGGCTAGGGATGGTTGTCAGCTGCTTTCAGAGGACGACTGCAGCTAACCAACCACAACTCCCTGTACCTCCTCACATTTATTCAGCATAGATTTAATAACAGAAGTTCTAAGTCAACAGGCTTGTGGATAATTAACATAGTTAAAAGAGTGGTTTTGCAAATGCTAAAAGCTTTTGGTTCCAGGGCCCAGATTAAACACCATTAACAGATAATTCCCCTTTGACTTCCCCTGAGAGGACCATCCAGCACAAAGTTTACATGAGCAAACAAATTAGAGTAGGAACAAAGGCATGTGGGGTAAACAGACTTAACTAGGGAAGCTTTTATTATCCTAATCTTTTACCCTATAACTTAAAATTCTAACATAATGAACTGGCTGCTTCAGCCCGTTCCATTAAAACCTTTTGGCTTTCCAAAAGGTTTGCAACTATAATCTTCCAACTTTCCCTATATATCCCTGATATTTGCCACCCATCCCAAGTGAATCCCAACATAATTGGCTCACAGTTCCACAGACTGTACAGGAAGCATAGTGGCATCTGTTTCTGGGGAGGCCTTGAAAAGCTTTCAATCATGGTGGAAGGCAAAGGGGGAGCAGGGTGTCTTCCATAGCAGAAACAGGAGCAAGAGAGAGAGAGAGTGGGGAGGTGCTGCATACTTTTAAACAACCAGATCTTACAATAACTCACTCACTCAGTATCACGAGAACAGCACAAGGAAATGGTACCAACTCATTCATGAGAACTCCGCCCCCATGCTCTAATCACCTCCAACCAGGCCCCACCTCCAACACAGAGGATTACAATTTGACATGAGATTTGGTGAGGACACAGATACAAACCATATCACACTGTATATTCTCTTTTATGTTACTGACATTGACTTTCTGTCAGACTTTTTGGAAACATCTTCCCCTATCATTTACCTTAGCATTTTGAGATTCTTTGAACCAATAAACACATTCATGTTTATATAAACAAATAAGTTCGGCTGGGCATGGTGGCTCACGCCTGTAATCCCAGCACTTTGGGAGGCTGAGGCAGGTGAATCACAAGTTCAGGAGTTCAAGACCAGCCTGGCCAAGACGTTGAAACCCTGTACCTACTAAAAATACAAAAATTAGCTGGCTGCAGTGGCACACGCCTGTAATCCCAGTTACTCAGGAGACTGAGGCAGGAGAATCACCTGAACCAGGGAGGCGGATGTTGCAGTGAGCTGAGATCACGCCATTGCATTCCAGCCTAGGTGACAGAGTGAGACACCATCTCAAAAAAAAACAAAAACAAATAAGTTCCCCTTTTCTTCGCTGTTACTGTCATTCAGCTGTGTGCTGGTAAAGCAGGTTCAAAAGGAAAGTGTGATCTGTAGCATTTGCTGATATCTGCAGTGTCCATATTCCCAATATAGCTGAGGGCTAGCTACCAATTAATTTTTTTGCAAAATTTTTGAATATTTTATTTTTATGTATGTATTTATTTATTTTATTTTTTGAGAAGGAGTTTCACTCTTGTTGCCCAGGCTGGAGTGCAATGTAATGATCTCGGTTCACTACAACCTCCACCTCCTCGGTTCAAGTGATTCTCCTGCCCCAGCCTCCCAAGAATCTGGGATTACAGGCATGCACCATCACACCTGGCTAATTTTGTATTTTTGGTAGAGATGGGGTTTCACCATGTTGGTCAGGTTAGTTGCAAACTCCTGACCTCAAGTGATCCACCTGCCTCAGCCTTCCGAAGTGCTGGGTTTACAAGTGTGAGCCACCATGCCTGGCCCCTGAATGTTTTAGAATCAGATTTTACAAATATGTACAAGCAAGCTCTAGCACACCATGGCTAGCCTGCTTTTAGATTTAGAAAGCTTTTTTTCATAACAAGATAAGATAGATATATGTGTATGTGTCCTTCTCAAATGTATTTTTTATTTTAATTTTCAATTATCTAAGTAACAAATATTTACTGAAGAAAAATAAGGAATATAAATAAATTTTAAAATATTTCAATCACAATAATCTTGCCAAATAGAGGTACATCAATAACATTTTTAGAGCAACCATACAGTCATTTTTCTAGATATATAAACATTCTTTAGGGTCTTGGCTCCTACTGCAAATTGTGATTCAGAAAGTTTGTAACAATTTATCTACCTACACATGCTCAAGTGCGTGCACACACACATAGCATCATACTATGTATACTCTTTGTAATCTGCTTTTCCTAATTCATAATCCATCATAAATATCTTTTCATGTCAGTAATTATCCATCTATAATTTTGACATTAATGGCTGGATAATATTCCATTTTATTTATAATGTACTTTTTAATATTTTAGTTTATAATGTATTTTACCAATCTTCTGTTGTTGGGTATTTAAATTGCTTCCAATTTTTGCAATTAGAAACAATTCTGCAATAAGCAGCAGTATTTCCTTGGGATGTGTATGAACAATTATTTTCTTAATATATATTCTACAAAGTGGACTCTTTGAACCAATAGACATAAACCCATACCATTATTCTTTGCCTTTTTTCCTATTACTATACATGAATTATCTTTTTTATTATTTTACCCAAATTTAAGATACTTTTTTTTAGATTGCTCCTCTGCCATGTAATTCAATAGCCTACCAACAATTTTGGTTTCTCTTCTCATCTGTTGGTTGTACTGATTACATAATAAGATGTTGACTGGAACTTTTCCTATGACTTGGGCCAAAAACTGAAGACAAAGAAGTATTATGTACCACATTCTGTAGAAATCTGCTAACAATTGGGGCATGTCCCCCAGGGCATTCTAAGAAGCAGTTGAATCCGATAGCACCATCTATGGCATCCCGCCACCCTACCTTCCCCATCCACCTGAGAATGCTGGGGAGGGTGGCAAGAGAGTCAGCAGTACCAGGAGATGAATGTTTATGATATAAGCCTGCAAGCTCCTCTCCCTATGCAAGAGATGACCTCTTTCTCAAGCCAAATGAAGGGGGAATAACAGTAGCATAACTCATAGACACTGGACAGGGAGATCGGGCATCTCTTTCCTCAAGAGGATGCTTGTTTTGATGCAGCAATATGCAGGATCATCCTCTGAGGTTGATTCCCCTCCCCCTCTGAGCAGTCTTAGAGAACATTATATGTGGCCCCTGGAGTTCAGGAGTGTAAGTTAGTAAAGGGACTGGTGTCTACCCTGTTGGAGATTTCCATTGGACCAACCCTTGCCAACTGGCAATTAGAGACTGTGGTATCAGGTATCTGGGAAAGGGGGTGTTTTCACCCAAGTGCCCCTTGGGCCACACACATACAAAAAGGCAGAGGAGGGCTTCATCAGTTCCTGTGGTTCCATGTAAGAAAGAATGGAGGCCATAAGAGAAGACCAGAGCAATAGTAAACAGAGCCATCTGGCCATCCTGAGCCCTTGAATGACCTTGTGCAGTAGAGATAAGTTAGTTACCTATTGTAGACCTCTTAGCACTATTTTTTCCTATTACTTGAGAAAGAAATAAACCTGATTCTTATTTAAGCCTCTGTGTTTGAGGTCTCCGTGTTCTGCAGGTTAGCCTATACCTTAATCAACACAACTATAGAAAAGGATATCCACCCTCTTACCACTCATCCCTGATCTCCACATCAGAAAAGCTAGATCTGGGAGAGGAAGGGGCAAGAAGAGTGTATCTCAGATAAACCATGCCTACCTCCAAAATATATGCCAACGTTGAGCTACAAGCCTAGCCTGTGATATGCAGAAAGAAGTGAGTTAGATGGAGATGGAGATTTCGAGTTTTAAACTAGATTGCAGTATCAACATCTCAAAAGGACTGAGAAGTATTAAACCTGCTCAAGATATCATTAATAAGTGATAAGGGGAGAATTTCAGAATCCAGTAGATAGAATGACTGGAGAAAAATTTAAAACTATGCCACATTTGGACTAGATGATGTTGAGATTCCTCACAACTAACTGTAACTGAAACTCTCAGGAAGTACCTGTGGTTTTAGAAATCCCGTCAGGTCTTTTACTCCCTGTAGTTTAGTCTCGTTCCTTTCTAATCAAAACAGTCTCCAGAATCCTAGACAGAAATACTTCCTCCTTTCCCCATATTCGAGGTCTCATTGTCTTTAAAACTCACACACTCTTCCCATTTATATCCCAGGTCTCCATCCACTCTCCTATGCTCTTACATCCATCCATTCTTTTCTCTTTGCCTAGTACTCCTTTATTTGTACCTCTGACTTTCCAACCAGCTTCTTTCAGAGTCTTCACTCTTTCCGGGATAGTATTTCTTTTCTGCTGCCACACTCAACTGGGTCTCCAGGACATCAGAGACGGTCATGACAACCTCAGAGGACTGGGTTCAACAGTGTCCTCCACCGTTCCTAGAAACATTTATGTACATTTAATTCAGATTTATTCTGATATCTCATTGGAAAAAGAGTCTTTGTAGATCTAATTAAGTTAAGGACCAAAATGTGATGCCATTGGATTAAGGAGGCCACTAAATCCAACTAGAGTGTCCTTGTAAGAGACAGGGAAAAAAAGAGACTCAGAGGAGAACACCATGTGAAGACACAGGCACAGATTACTGATTATTTAACCCTAATTTAGGACACTTATTTTAGATTGCTCATCTGCCATGTAATTCAATAGCCTACCAACAATTTTGGATTCTCTTCTCATCTGTTGGTTCTACTGATTACATATTAGAGTGTTGACTGGAACTTTTCCTGTCACTTGGGTCCAAAACTAAAGACAAAGAAATATTATGTGCCACATTCTATAGAAAGCTGCTAACAATTGGAGCATGTCCCTCAGGTCATTCTAAGAAGCAGTTGACGCCTCTGCGAACTAAGGGACACCAAGGTTTGCCAGCAACCGCCAGAAACTAGGAGACAGGAAAGGGATGACTTCTCCCTGAGAGCCTCTGGAAGGAACCAACCTGCCAACCTTGATTTCTGACTTCTGCCTTCCTGAACTGGAGGAAATAACTTTCTGATGTTTTAAGCCACCCAGTTCATGGTAATTTGTCATGGCAGCCACAGGAAACAAGCACATCCAGCAACACTGCCAACTTGACAGTTTCTTTGCTTACGGTGTTCTTTCACTTCCAACTTTGCACCCACCGTGCCCTCCCCTGTGAAGAATCTTCCCAGTCACATGCCCAGGACCCTTCCCAGCCACATGCCCAGGATCCTCCTGATGAAAGACCTTTCAGCAAGGCTCATCGTAGCAGCCCTCCCTGGTCAATAACCTCAGTTTCTCATCCCTTTTGCTATGGTCTGAATGTTTGTGTCCCCCCAAAATTCATATGGTGAAATCCTAACCCCCGAGGGGATAATATAGTCAGCCCTTCATATCCATGGGTTCCATATCCACAGATTCAAACAACCATGGATTGAAAATATTCAGTAAGTGAATAAATAAACAGCAATACAATAATACAAAATAATAAAAATAAAAGACCATATAGTATAACAACTACTTACATAACATTTAAATTGTATTAGGTATTGTAAGAAATTTAGAGATGATTTAAGTATATGGGAGGATGTATATAGGTTATATGTAAATAGTACACTTTTTTTTCAGTCAGTGTCTTCCTCTATTGCCCAGGCTAGAGCGCAATGGCATGATCATAGCTCACTGCAGCCTGGAATTCCTAGACTCAAGCTATCCTCCCACCTCAGCCTCCCAAGTAGGTGGAACTACAGGCATGTGCCACCATGTCCATCTAATTTTTGTATTTTTTTTTTTGTAGAGATGGGGTTTCACTATGATGTCCAGGCTGGAAGTATGCCATTTTATATGAGGGACTTGCGCAGTCACAGACTTTGGGATCCACAGGGCTCCTGGAACCAATGTCCTGTGGATATGGAGGAACAGCTGTATTAAGAATTGGGGCTATTGGGAGACAATTAGATCATGAATGTGGAGTCTTCATGAATAGGATTAGTGCCCTCTCACATGTAAGGATACAGTGAAAAGACAAACCATCTATAAACCAGGAAATGGGCCCTCACCAGGCACCAGATCTGTCAGCTTGACCTTGGACTTTGCAGCCTCCAGAACTATAAGCAATAAATTTCCATTGTTTATAAGCTACTCAGTTTGTGGTACAGTCATGCACTTTTTCACTCAACAGCCATGGCCCTATAAGATTATAATGGAGCCGAAAAATTCCTATGGCCTAGTAACACTGTAGTGCAATGTATGACACACGTTTGTGGAGATGCCGTTGTAAACAAGCACACTACACTGACAGTCATATAAAAGCATAGCACTGGGCCGGACGTGGTGGCTCAAGCCTGTAATCCCAGCACTTTGGGAGGCCGAGCCGGGTGGATCACGAGGTCGAGAGATCGAGACCAACCTGGTCAACATGGTGAAACCCCGTCTCTACTAAAAATACAAAAAATTAGCTAGGCATGGTGGTGCGTGCCTGTAATCCCAGCTACTCAGGAGGCTGAGGCAGGAGAATTGCCTGAACCCAGGAGGCAGAGGTTGCAGTGAGCCGAGATCGTGCCATCGCACTCCAGCCTGGGTAACAAGAGCGAAACTACGTCTCAAAAAAAAAAAAAGCATAGCACTGTATAATTATGCACAGTTCATAATAATTGATAATGATAATAAGCAACCATGTTACTGGTTTCTGTATCTACTAGATGGTAACTTTAATCATTAATTTAGAGTGTATTCCTACTTACTTTTTTAAATCAAACTATAAAAAAGCCTCAAGCAGGTCCTTCAGGATGTTTTCCAGAAGAAAGCATTGTTGCCATTGGAGATGATGGCTCTATGCGTGTTATTGCCCCTGAAGATCTTCCAATGGAATAAGAGATAGAGGTAGAAGACGATGATATTGATACTGACCCTATGTAACCCTAGGCTAATGTGTGTGTGTATCTCAGTTTTTAATAAAAAAGTTTAAAAAGTTAAAAATAAAAAAATTTTTACATAGAAAAAACATAAAGATATAAAGAAGGAAAATATTTTTGTATAGCTGTAGAACGTGTTTGTGTTTTAGCTAAGTGTTATTACTAAAGAGCCAAAAAAATTTTAAAGCAAAAAGTTGACAAAGTAAAAACATTGCAATAAGCTAAAGTTAACTTATTACTAAAGAAAGAAAAAGTTTTTAAGAAATTTTGTGTGGCCTAAATGTACAGTGTTTATAAAGTCCACAGTAGGATACAGTCATGTCCTAGGTCTTCACATTCACTCACCACTCTCACTGACTCACCCAGAGCAACTTCCAGTCTTGCAAGCTCCATTTCATGGTAAGTGCCTGTAGTAATCCGTTTTCACACTGCTGGGGAAGTCTCACAATCATGGCAGAAGGCAAGGAGGAGCAAGTCACATCTTACATGGTGGCAGGGAAGAGAGAGAACTTGTGCATGGAAACTCCCCCTTACAAAACCATTAGATCTCATGAGACCTATTCACTATCAGAAGAGCATGGGAAAGATCCACCCCCATGATTCAATCACCTCCCACTTGGTCCCTCCTGTAAGGCCGGTTGCCTTGCCGGAAGTCAAATGGATACATTCATCACTCTCCGTGCCTGATAACTGCGTCATCACCCAAGCTCATTATCTGGCTTCCCCACAAGGCTTCCCCACACCCACCTCTGCATACCATGCCCAAGCCCACATTCAGCACTAAATTATGCATCCAACCTCCAGCCTGCTGTTAAAAAAACCCTCCAGAGAAATTTTTTTTTTTTTTTTTGAGACGGAGTTTCGCTCTTGTTTACCCAGGTTGGAGTGCAATGGCGCGATCTCGGCTCACCGCAACCTCCGCCTCCTGGGTTCAGGCAACTCTCCTACCTCAGCCTCCTGAGTAGCTGGGATTACAGGCACGCACCACAGTGCCCAGCTAAGTTTTTGTATTTTTAGTAGAGACGGGGTTTCACCATGCTGACCAGTATGGTCTCGATCTCTTGACCTCGTGATCCACCCGCCTCGGCCTCCCAAAGTGCTGGGATTACAGGTGTGAGCCACCGCGCCCAGCCCTGAGAAATTTTTTTTAAAGAAGCCCCACCATTCCCTGCCCAGCAACAGCCTACCCCATATGCCCCCTGCAGGCCTGCATACCCAAGGTCCTGCCCGCCTACCAATGGCAGCTAGTTTCATGTACTTCCTACTTTAACTCCATGTACTTCCTGCTCCTCAACAGCCAATAGAAATGCCTTCTCTTTGTTTCCCCAGTAGTCAATCAAGGCCCGCTTATCCAAGGTCCCGCCTACCAATGGCAGCTAGTTTCATGTACTTCCTACTTTAACTCCATGTACTTCCTACTTTAACTCCATGTACTTCCTGCTCCTCAACAGCCAATAGAAATGCCTTCTCTTTGTTTCCCCAGTAACCAATCAATTGCCTGCACTCCCCATAAAACACCATGCCCTGAACAACCAGGTGTGACTTCTCTGACCCCACTTGGGCCACTGAAGCTTGCCCGGGAGCTGAATAAATTGGCTTCTCACTTTTTTATACTCGCCTCAGTTTCCTCATTTTACTTCAGCAATAAATCTTACACCTCCCACAACACATGGGAATTTAAGATGTGATTTAGGTGGGGACACAGCCAAACCACATCAGTGCCCCCATACAGGTATACCATTTTTTTATATTTTTTACTATATTTTTACTGTATCCTTGATATGTTTAGATACGTTTGGATACACAAATACTTAGCATTGTGTTACAATCACCTAGAAGCAACAGGCTATAGCATAAACCTAGGTGTGTAGTAAGCTATGTCATCTATGTCTGTGTGAGTGCACTCTATGATGTTCAACCAAAGGCTAAATCACCTAACAACACACATCTCAGAACTTAGTCATCTTTGCGGTGCTCCATTCCTTTTAACCTGACATCTTACTACAGGATCTATTGGTTATTCTCACCACAGTGTTAAGAAATGAAAACGTGTTGAGGCAAACTTACCAAATTATGGCATTGGATGGGGGCATGAGAAGGAATAGCTCAAACACGGATGGAAAAGATACTTTATTTGTATGGATTTTTGGGGTTTTATTGTTTGTTTCTTTCTTTTTTGTCTTTCTGGACCCATTTTTCAACCTCCCAGAAAAGGACGACACAGAAGATGCATAACCCTCAAAACAAAAGCACACGTCCTACCAGGCAATGGGACCCATGGGATGAGCTGCAGGGCCACTGTGGGGCGGGCAAGTGATGCACAGAGAAGGGCTCACCAAACCTCCAAAAGAAAGCCTTTCCCTTCTCACAATGTCCTGCTAAACCTGGAGCTGAGTCGCCCCAGCTATGTAGAGAATCCATGAGCCCTACATCACCCATGGGTACCCCAAATTCAGTGGTAACAAAGGAATGAGAGAAAGACAGATTAAGAGAAAAGGTGGGACCAGGGGGCCATCACTTTATTACTCTGGAGGAAACAATGAAGGCCCTGAGCTCTGATCATCCACATTGTTTATCGATTACAATCACTTTGATCTATAGGGTAGGGGCGGACTGATGGTGGAATGAATCAGTGAGCAGAAAGTGAATTCGTGGCTGGAACTGGTGTGTCATTCTAAGAATTGATAACATTGGCAGTTTGGGAGTTTCATAAAACAAGAACATGTGGTTATCTTTAGCTTATTATCTAGGCACAGCTGATGGAACACTGGCCTTACAAGGAGCCTACAAGCCTGGCTACCTCATAGTGCTACAAAGGGGTTTTATGTCCTTGAGCACAATTACTTATGGCAACAGAGCCAAGGACACCCTGCATCGGAACATGAGGCATGGAGAGGACTTCCTCCTCAGAGGCCTCCTGCGGCCTTCTACAGTTTGTTGTTCCTTGTTTGTGTGTTACTCATAACCAATTTACATAGGCACCCTGTAAGTCCTTTCTCCTTTGCAGTTTTTCCCAGCAGTCCTCCAGTGGTGGATGGGGAGGAGCAGTGTGCAAGGCGAAGACGTCCACTGCCAAGGTTAGGCACCGCCCAGGGGGCAGATCAGGGTGGAACTGTGGCCCTGTGGAACCCCGCCCCTGCCTGCCTGGGCTTTTTAGATAAAATCCAGGACTTCACAGACATGTCCTGCATGGGACCATTTCAGAGCCATTTGCTCATCCCACGAGTTTTTATTGTGCATCTACAATGCGGGCGCAGGGTCCCCTTGGCACTGGGGAGAGGCAGGGCACAGGTGGAGAACGCTCCCGTTCTCTTGGAGCTTATACTTTAGTGGAGAGAAAGAGAAAACAAGTAAACAACTAAGCAAGCAAGACAATTTCATACAGTGATGTGTGCTGTGAAGAAAAGAAATGGGAAGAATGTGGAGGAATGTGATGGAGAGCGGCTGTGGAGACTCTACTTTCAACTGCAGGGAGGCACCTCCACCGAGGGGATGTAGGTTTTTAAAAAAAAATGTTAATGCTAAAATTCTATATTTTCAATATCAACAATATCTTGTAGGAAACATTGAGACCATTTAAAAAGATTTGATCATTTAGAATCTGTGGCAGTTTTTGTTGTTGCTTGTTGTTTTTATTGTTTTTAGATTAGGCAAGTGTTCATCAAATCTGTTCAACAGAGGTTGTGGAAGAATATACCGTTTTGGGATAGAGCCTAGGGAGGAAAATGAGTGTTCTCCTGAGGAGCAAGGAAGAGCTGACACAGACAGAAGATGACACTAATAAAATATCATTAAGGCTTATTTTGTTACAGGTTTTATGAAGCCAGTTTATTTCTTTCTTTCTTTTAATTTTTTTGAGATGGAGTCTTGCTCTGTTGCCCAAGCTGGAATGCACTGGCACTATCTCAGCTAACTACAACCTACGTCTCCCAGGTTCATGCGGTTCTCCTGCCTCAGCCTCCTGAGTAGCTGGGACTACAGGTGCCTACCATCACACCCAGCTAATTTTTGTATTTTTAGTAGAGATGGAGTTTCACCATGTTGGCTGGGCTGGTCTCAAACTCCTGACCTCAAGTGATCCACCTGGCTCAGTCTCCCACAGTGCTGGGATTAGAGGTGGGATCCACTGTGCCTGGCCAAAACCAGTTTATGGAATGAGCTAAGTCCAGAAAGCAAGGGCTTCATTCTTCTTTAACCAATGCATTACAACAAAGTTCTGTTGGATCTCCTTCCATCATCACTCCTGAGTCTTGGGCAGATACCATAAATTTTAGTGACAAAGCTCATTTTACTCATTGCACCTCTATTTAAGAGATTAAAATGTCCAGTCCAGTTCAATGTAACGTCAGTGTCACACCTCATTCAAAAGTCGGCTTGGCCTTTCTTACAGTGAAATGAAGAAAGAATGTAATCAGTTTCTTTATTCTTTCTCCACTGTCCCTGTCTTCTCTATAGTCTAGGTTCCCGTGTCATTGGAAGGGAAGAGGTTATTATACAAAGAGGAGTGGATCTTCCCATAGTTAACTATTGAATAAGGCAGACAGGCTAACATGTTCCTGCCTGCTAACATGGCAGAGTCCATATGCTGGCTTTTTCACAGGGCGCATCTGTGAGTTATTGGGAGGCCTTGAGTGTACCCCACATTGCACAGTTCCATGATGCAGTGGCACATTATCTAGCTGACTTCTTGCAGCAACCTCCACCCTGAACCCCTCTTCTGCCCAACCCCATGTCCTCTTACTGCTATAGTCTTTTTGCACAACAGTCTGCGCTATTGGCTGACATCTCATCATGACAGTGCAAGCCCAGCTACTCTTCCATAGTCAAAGCCATATGAAGAAATTCACATACTCTTACCATGCCAATAATGGAAGGGCAGGTTGCTATCACTGCTTCTCTTCTCTCGTCCTGCCATTTTGGGTTGCCCAAGCCAAACTTTCGCCTTCAGAATTTCCCAGGTGGGAAGCACTCATATTCATTCAACAAATATTTATCGAATTTTGTTTTTGCCAAGCACTGTTTACCAGCTTTTGTGTTGCCAGTGCCCACCTTCATCCCAAACGCCAGCATTCATCAAGCTCTTCCAAGAGCTCTCAAGCCACACCCAATCTGCTGCACTGAACCTGCGTGCTCCTGTTAATCTGCAAGCTTTCAGTCTTGGAGTGGGATTGCAGGCTACCTTCTACCATGCTTAGAGCCCCTCACACTTGTCTTTGCAAGAAATTCAAAGCAATCTCCCTCTTAATCTGGAACCTCCACTTAATGACTCTTTAATCACTCTTTTGACTCTAGTCTTCTAGAGATGGATAGTATGGACTGGGAGTCACTGGTCTCTTTCTGATCTTTTTATAAGTCTAGGCTGGCTGTGTCTAGTATCATGTGGGTGCATTTACAGTCTTTTGTCAGCTTTGGGGCTTTAGCCAGAATTCTGAGACAACCAGAAAAGTCCCACTCAATATCTAGTTACAAATAAATTTGGCCCTGAGTTTTCTTGGAAAGTATCTAAATCCACGTCTTTCCCCTCAACAGCTTATGACCAAGTCCATATTTTCCTTTACATACCTACACTATTACATCATGAGACCTCATTGGTTAATTATATATTTGTGTAGCAGGATAAAAGATTAAATAAGCTATTACACATATGTGAAACTGAAGACTTTTTTTACATGTCATAGCTGATCTCATTTTTTCCCCAAGCCCCAAAGTTAAAGAAAATAACAACGCTGACCCAGAGACCAATAGAATTCCCAGGGCACTCTAAGGGCCAGAGCATATGATGCTGAAGTTGACTGTCTTCTTGCAGCCATGAAGCCATATAAACTGTTGCTCACACAGAATCCATTTGGAAAAGGAACTGAAAAACTGAACATTTACTCAAAAGAGACTGTTTCAATTTGAAACATAATGATTAAACCAAAAGAGACTGGGCTGTCTGTCACTGGCAAGTTGAGTACCACCTCACCCTCTAGCTTAATTCCCCAGATGAAACGTTGTTTTTTTGTTAAGTCTTTCCTGAAGGCATGAGGATAATAATGGAGACATCTCCAGACAGTTACTTAGAACTGTACTGTTCACATAATTCAAGTAAATAATGGTTTCTTAAATTGGATTTCCTTCACTTTTTTTAAGATTTCACATCATTGTTTTCAGCGACTAGTGTTAATTTTATATGAAAAGCAGCTCTAATGTTAGCCAAAAAAAGCCCATGTTTGCTTTTCTCCTTGGGCCATTCCAAATAAGTCCGCTGTGTCATGAGAGCCCTCAGCTTGTGGTACTTGTTGGGAATGCTGTTCGGTGGAATGGGTTCCAGCAAGATGAGGATTAAGTTATTAGATCCTTCATGGAAGAGATTGTGGTGGGCAAAGTAGAGTTCATAATGGCACCACTCACTCTGGACAAAGTTGGGAGACAAGACAAAGATGGACTTGTAACTCTTCTCAATGCAGTTGATGATATTTTCCACAATGCTCTTGCCAGGAACAAAGTTTCTCTCATGGAGACAAATCTGTATACCTTCTTTCTCTAGGTAAGGTACCAATTCATTTTTCACCCAGGCAGAATCATGTTCACTATATGAAATAAAAGCATGAAACTGGAGATTTCTTTGGAGTTCTTCTAAGGGTACATTCCTGGCCCTGCGTCGGGTCTGGGTCCACTGGCACACCATCCTGAGATACCAGGGCAGATCCAAGTAGATGCAGAGGGAGGTCACAGTCACAGCCAACACCAGCATGGTGGCCCCGATGGTGACAATCAGCAGAGTTATGTTGCAGGATAAGTCAGACATGTGAAAGTCCTTCAGTGGGGTTCCTCTATAACTATCTGGGTAGTCACACTTATAAGAATCGGGCCAGCCCTCTACTACTTCACTTGATACTTGGCCTATATTTTTGACAAATTCTCTTAGATCACAGGTACAATGGAATGGATTGTTCCCTGCATTTACTGACCTCATCTTCTGGCAGCTCTGGAAGAAATCAGCTGATGGGTGGGAAACTGAATTGTGATCAATGATCAACACAGAAAGCCTGCTAAAGCTGCCACATCCAGGAAGGTCCGTTAAAGAATTGAAAGCAACATTGAGTTCCTGCAAAGCTTCCAGTTCTATGACTTGTTTAGGAATGCTCTTTATTTTATTGCTGTGAAGATCAAGTACCTTGATCCTGGGAGGTAAACATCTGAAAACGGAGTCAGTAAGTATATTTGAAGACAAATTTAACACCACTATACTCTCACCCCAAGTGCAGTTTTCCTCATGTCTACCAGATTCCAGAGAATTCCAGCTAACATCCAACATTTCCAAAGATGGCATATCCTTAGTCATGAGACCTACTTTGAAAAGGTCTTTTAATCCATTCTTTCGTAAAATAAGTGTCTCCAATTTAATTAACGTGGAACATTTTTCAAAAATACTATCTGTGAAAACATTCTGGGTAAAGTTCAAAAACTTGAATGTGCTTGGTGCATGAGGACACAGCATGTGTATAAATGGTGTATCCGAAATGGTTAACATCATAATGTTCATCTCGGAAAATACTGTATACAATGCTGTCTGTGAATAAAGAAAAACTTGGTTTGTGATATGTTCTATTTTCAATGCTTTCAACGTCGTTTTAGAATAAGTAAAATATTCTTTGCGAATGCTTTCAATTATTGTTAAATTGTAAATATTGAGATATTCCACAGGTTTGGGCCAAAGGTATTGAAAGACTCTAACCAGGCATTTCCAAGTTGTTTCCATGTGGGTGAGGGTAAAATTCAGTAAGGTCGGACCTCTGGTGAGTTCTGATAAAAAATGAATGAAAACTTGACAGTTGTCATCATTCAATTTAATATTAGTCAGTTGTAAGCACCCTAGAGTATTAACTGATATACTCACTTGGATAGAGAATAAACTATTTGGGTGAAAAACAAGGTGAAGTGTTTTTGCATTCAGAATTTGTAGACTTTCTGTCTCATTTTCTTTCACATAATAATTTCTTAAATCCAGAAGGATATAACTTAGATGCAAGTGAGCAACTGGAAGCAAATCTAATCTTTGTAACCTCATAGCACTCAATCCCAAGAAATTCAGTTGCGACAAGTTGCCAAATTCCTTACAGATGGGCAGGGCCTTGAAGTCATTGAATGAGAGATCTAAATGCCTGAAACTCACAATAGGATAGCAAGAGATCTTTTGCAACTGATTATGAGATAAATCCAAGTATTCCAAATCCTGATTGAACTTGAAGACACTCAAATCAAGTAGCTGGATTCTGTTATGGGAAAGTCTCAAAACTTTCAACTCTGACAGAAAGCTCACATCAGAAACCCGAAGCTCGGTTATGTAGTTCTGAGACATATCTAAGACTTTGGTGTTCAACGGTAGGTCGTTTGGAACATGAATAAGGCCTCTTTTTGACTTGTCTACTGCAAATTCACTTTCGTCGGAGAACTGGATGATGGTTCCAACTATTATTATCGTAAGGCAAACAAAACGGGAGCTTTTCACAATAGGTTCGCTGTCTTTGGTCATGATGTTGCAGCGGCTATCCTAAAGGGTTGTTATTCTTCAAAGCATCTTGATATGAGTCCAAATTCTAGAAATATAATATACACTAAGATTAATAAAGATCAGATGGTTACTTTCAAACTTCCACTTACCAAAAATCTAAATGATTTATTCATTCACTAGTAGAGTCATTTCTGTCCATATAATTTTTTTTTTTGAGACGGAGTCTCACTTTTGTCACCCAGGCTGGAGTGCACTGGCCCAATCTCAGCTCACTGCAACCTTTGCCTCCTAGGTTCAAGTGATTCTCCTGCTTCAGCCTCTCAAGTAGCTGGGACTACAGGTGTCTGTCACCACGCTGGCTAATTTTTTTGTATTTTTAGTAGAGATGGACTTTCACCATGTTAACCAGGATGGTCTTGATCTCACCTCGTGATCCACCCACCTCAGCGTCCCAAAGTGCTGGGATTACAGATGTGAGCCACTGCTCCTGGCCATCCCCATAATTTACTGATACTTTTTATTACCAGTTATATAGCTTGCTCATGCCAGAAGGAGTAATATAGGCCTTGTTATCAAAGAACTGTGGTTGTGTGTTTTGACCTGGCTGGTTGCTGCCTGAGGGAGTCACACTCAGGGGCTTGCCTTTGTTTTGCACACCTTATAACTTTCTTAGGGCTGGAGCAGCCTCCTGGGTGGTGTTTGTTGTAAACATTTAAAGGCAAATATACACCTGAGCAAGGGCTAACAGTGGGGGCAAGCAGTGGACATGCCAGAAACCCTGGGAAATATGCAAAGATATATGAGAGAAAAAAGGCTTTGGAAATCTCTGTGTATACAGGGAGTCTAGAAGTTCACCAATGTGCCCAAGCTGGACACATGCTCAGAAGAGACCTGAGAAAATTCTCAACTTTCACCCCTGGCTGATCTCTAGCGTCCATGCATGCAGAAAGTGAAGGCTAAGGTGGAGTTGTGAATAGCCTGGCTAAGCATTGAGAAAGTGCTCCAACACAGCCAATCTGCAAAGATCAGGGGAGTTTTGGCTTTTGCTTTCGGTATTTTGTTTTGTTTTTGTTTTTGCTCCAGATGTGTAAAGAAATCTCAAGTCACTAGCTGACCACTAAGCTAACTGGACACAGAATTTAATAGCCACACATGACAAAGAATAGTCTTTATAAAAAATATTTAGAAAAGTAATTAAACAAGCAACTACAAGCCACAAGAAGCAACAATACACTCTGGGAAACGGAAGCCAGGCACGCCTGTAATCCTGGAACTTTGGGAAGGCAAGGCAGGCGGATCGCTTGGGCCAGGAGTTCAAAACCAGTCTGGGCAACATGGTGAAACCCCGTCTCTACAAAAAATACAAGAATTGGCTTGACATGGTGGCATGTGCCTATAGTCCCAGCTACTTGGGAGGCTGAGTTGGGAGAATTGTTTGGGCCTGGGGAAGTTGAGGCTGCAATGAGCCATGATCACACCACTGTACTTCAACCTGGGTGACAGAATGAGACCCTGTCAAAAAAAAAAACACCCTCTGGGAAAGGGGGACAGAATGTGATTTCTAGAGCTACCTCATTCTAGTGTTTAAAATGTCTGGGGAAAAAAGAAAAAGAATCACTAGCCCCCAGATTTCCCAGGGGACTTGCTCTGGATTTTGCCCTGAAGTTACACAAACTCTGCAAAAAAGCAAATAAAAAGAGATTGTTGTCTTTTTGATTGTGTAACCTGGCATTAAAGGAATCTCTAATATATTTGCTTTTAAAAAATTAGCCATGCAAAGAAACAAGAAAGTACTGTTCTTTCACAGGGGGGAAATAATTAAAAGAACAAAGTCAGATAACTGGCATTACCTAACATTAAGACTTACTACAAAGTTACAGTAATCAAGGCAGTGTGGTTTTGGTGAAAGAATGTACAAATAGATCAAATGACCAGAATACAGAGCTTAGAAATAGACCCACACAAAAATAATCAACTGCTATTTGACAAAGGAGCAAAGGCAACTTAGTGGAGAATGGATAGTGTTTTCAACAAATGGTTCTGGAGAAAGTAGACCCCTACAAGAAGAAGGAGAAGGAGAAGAAGCGGAGGAAGGGGAAAAAGAAGGAGGGGGAGGAGGAGGAAGTTAGACACAGACCTTACAGTTTTCACAAAAATTAGCTCAAAATTAACCATAGGCATAAATGTATAATGCAAAACTATGAAAATTCTAGAAGATAGCATAGGAGAAAATCTAGGTGACTTTGGATTTGGTGATGACTTTTTAGATACCACATCAAAAACATAATCCAAGAAAGAAAACACTGTTAAGTTGGACTTCATTAAAGTTAAAATGTTTGCTTTGCAAAAGAAACTGCAAGAGAGTGAAAAGACAAACCACAGACTGAGAAAAGATATTTGCAAAACACATATATGATAGGGACTTGTATCCAAAATATGCAAAGAACTTTTGAGCTCCACAATAATAAAACAAACAACCTAGTTTTTAAATGGGCACAAAAATCGAAACAGACACCTCACCAAAGAAGATCTACAAAGAGCAAATACACATATAGATAGCTATTCAACAGTATATGTCATCTGGGTATTGCAGATTAATTTACAATGAAATTACACTACACTTATGAGAATGAGTAAAATCCAAAAACAACATCAAATGTTGGTGAGGGTGTGTAGCAACAAGAATTCTCTTTGTTTATTTAACCAAATAACTGAAAATTTATGTCCACATAAAAGCCTATACATGGATGTTTATAGAAGCTTTGTTCATAACTGCCAAACATTGGTAGCAAAAAGATACCCCTCAATAGGTAAAAGGATGAACAAACTGGTACATTCACACAAAAAAAATATTATTCAACAATTTAAAAATGAGCTGGAGAAGCTACAAAATGGCTGAATAGAGGCACCTAGCACTCGCCCCTCTGCAAAGAACTAAAACAGTGAGCAGATAATCACACATTAAATGAGCATCTAAGAGAAAACACTGGAATTGAGTAGGGAAGTGACAGTGGACCTCTGAGGCATGGAAGAAGAGGGAAGGGAAGCAGCCAGCCCAGCTGGGACTAGCTCTGAACCAGAAGTCCCCATTCCAGGGAAAGGATAACTGAGAGATCTTCAGAGGTCCCCATTTCCACTACAGACTCCTGTAATCCTAGCCATGAGCTAGCCCCTTGGCCCTCACAGGCCCTGAGACTATCTGGAATCTATGCAATGGCATGTGTTTCACAATGGGACTTTGTATTGGATCCCACATAACTCATTCCCCGAGATCCAAACAACTTCAGCATAGTGCTATTTTAAGAGTCCAGCCTTCACCATACAAATCCTGTTCTGGGGCCCAACAACCCTGAATCTCCATACCTCTGAAGCCCCACTGATTCTCTCCTACATCCACCTACAGGGCTACAGTATTGTAATGCCAGCTAAACCCAACAGTGCTGTTAGGTTCCCAGCACTCTAGCCCATGCAATGCCCTACATCCCAGGAAAGAGGAAGCACAGTGCACCTAGTGGCTCTCCCTGGGACAAAGGGAGTCAAAGTATGCATTCCCCAGAGCCTAAGAGCTACCTGCCCAGGGCCACTGACAATTACAGCAACCCCACCTTCCCTAGCAGCAGGACCACCACACACCTACACACGCCTTCAAGGGGCCTGAGGACAGGTCCACCATGCCCTCTACTGCTAGTGCCTGCCTGCCACTGCCATGGCCAACACTCATCCACACATGCCACATGGGGTCCTACGAACTGGTTTGCCCAGACTGCTGCTGCCATGTATGCCACCTGGGGGCCAGAGGGTTGGCCCACTTTTTCTACTGCTACAGTTGATGCCACACAAATTGTGCAAGGGCCCCAGAACCTGCCTTCTCATTTGGTCCATTACTGCCACTGCAAGTATCCAAATAAATCTCCTGGAGGCTGAAGGACCTCCTGCCTGGACCCATCACCACCAGTGCCCACATACATCACTCAGGGGCCTGAGGACTGGCAAGCCCAGTCCACTGCTGCCATCACTGGGGCCTGAATACAGGCCTGCCTGGTGTCCCCATCTGAATTCCACAAAACTTTTAACAATTGATACCAATTTTTCTCAAACTATTCAAAAAAATTGAAGGAATTCCTCCTAACTCATTCTACAAAGCCAGCTATTTTCTGATACAAAAACCAGACAAGGACTGAGTGTGGTGGCTCACACCTGTAATCCCAGCACTTTGAGAGGCTGAGGCAGGCAGATCACCCAGGGTCAGGAGTTTGAGACCAGCCTGGGCAACTGAGTGAGACTCAGTCTCAAAAAAAAGAAAAGAAAAGAAAAGAAATTAAGAAAGCAATCCTATCTGCATAGCTACAAGACAATTACAAAACCTAGGAATAAACTTAATCAAGAAGGCAAAAGGTCCCTACAACAAAAACTAAAAAATACTGATGAAAGAAATTGAGAACACTAAAAAATGGAAAGACATCCCATGTTCATGGATTGGAAGAATTAATATTGTTAAAACGACTTCACTACTCAAAGCAATCTACAGATCCAATGCAATCCCTATCAAAATACCGATGATATTATTTACAGAAATATAAAAAATAATCTCAACATTGGTATAGAACCACAAAACACGCCAAATAGCCAAATCAATACTGAGGAAAAAGGACAAAGCTGAAGGCATCACACTACTTGACTTCAAAAGATACTACAAAGAAAAAGTAGCAAGGTATTGGTACAGAAACAGATACACAGACTAAGAAAACAGAACACAGAACTCAGAAATTAATCCACATATTTACAGCCAATCAATTTTCAACAAAGGTGCCGCCAACAACATATAATTGGGGAAAGGCTACTCTTCAATAAATGGTGCTGGCTTCACATTTGTTCATATGTATAAGAATGAAACTAGACCCCTATTTCTCACCATATACAAAAATCAACTCAAAATGGATTAAAGACTTACATGTAAGACTTAAAAGTATAAAACTACTAGGAGAAAACAGAAGAAATGCTTTAGGACATTGGTCTAGGTAAAGACTTTATGGCTAGATTTCAAAAGTACAGGCAACAAAAACATAAATAGACAAATGGGACTAT